CCTTTTTGTGTACCCTAAATAATAGGTGCCATATTACAATAAGGACCCAAAAAAGGGGCCCTAATTTTGACAACCACCTGAATCGAAGGCGTCAGATGCGCCGCCCCGTGACAGCTTCGAGGCCGGCCCGAAACTTGGGGACACAAAAAGCACATAAGCATAAGCATTTTGTAGGGATATCCCTACAATATTGGGGGGATATCCCTACCGTATTGGGCTTCTTTATAAGGGGGCTTATATGGGATATCCCTATCTTTTTTTTTTGATTATGTGCTTTTTGGGGGCTCCTAAAGACGCTCTACACCTTCGGGGCTTCAGCTCGGGGACTCTTTCAGGGTCGCTTAGGGCTTCTTAGGGGCTATACGGCTCTGTGTCGGCATAGGGTCTGGTATAGGGTACTCTTCGAGTTTGGCGTTGAGATGTCACATGAGTACAGACTGTGGGTTTGGGGCTCAGGAGTCCTCTCGAAACCCTCAACCGTAAGAATTAGACTAACCATTGATATTGGAGGAGCTATGGAGCCAGGGATGATGATAATCCCTATGAAGTAAGGAGCTAAAGAGCCAAGGGAACCGCAAAACCACTGGTTAGTAGAGGTTGGGTGGGATTCAGCGGGGATTCAGTGGGTCATCCGGGCGTCTGAACTCCCCACTTGTTTTGGCGTTTGTGCTGGTTGGGAGGTTTTAGGGCTTGATATTTGGTTCGGGGTTTGGGGTTTAGGGTTGAATATAGGTGCTTTATTGAGTAGTATTGGGCTTTTGGTGGTATGTTATAACATAGTTACTACGAAACATAACAAATTATTCACGTTCCCGGGTTGTAGAGGTACTTTGTAAGAGTCTTAGAAGTGCATGCTTCACAGTAACTGTCTTTGGCTTTCCAAATGTTGACCTTCCCTCCCCTGACTCTAACCCTATAGCCTGAATCCCTAAACATTAAAGGCATTCTGTGACAGCTCCGGCCAAAACTTCCAAAGGTGCTGTGGCAAAATGACCCAGAGCTTACATCTCGGATCTGTACTGTAAAGTTCAAGCCCAAGGACCCTTACCCCGGTTTGGGAACCCTTATAAAGCAACCCTCGACCCTAAATCCTAAAGCCTAGCAACCTAAATCCCCAAAATCTGTGAGCCCTAAAGGCCAACCTAAATCCTAAGACTGTACTTATTATAATCTTCCAGCCGGAAGACCCAGCACCACCACGACACTGTAGAAGTTAAGAAGCATTAGTCATTAGTACTACCTTTCTTGAGGGCTCCTTGCTATACCATCCCATGATCTGTTCTTCGCTGTTCTTGTCATAAATATCAACCAACCGACCGGTTAGAATTCTTGAAGCCCTTGTGGATGATAATGATGATATTCCGCCATTCTAAACCTTAACCCTGAATGGCCTACCTTTTTAGGGTTCCCTATTATGATTTCCTTATATAAGTCCTCAAAAAGGTAGGCTCTTCAGGGTTAAGGAAGCCCTTGCCTTTCAGACCTTAAGAGCCGAGACGCAGGAAGACATGGGTCCGCGACGTAACCTTCTCGAGGCGTGCAGCTGCTGTTTCGGATTTCGGTTTAGGGTCTAGGGGTTTTGGGTTTCAGGTTTCCTATAGGGCTCCAGCTAGCTACATAATGGGCTATAGCTGCGGAAATTGATTGCATCAGGTCGTTCTATCGACCTACGATTTAGGCAACTGAAGCCGTGGGTTTTGGTGTCGATTATAATTGGGTTTAGCGCTTGGTTTAGCTTTTGAAGTTTCATTGTAAGGGATTCGGTGTTTGGGGGAGCTAGTAAGATCCTGAGTCCAAGGAGCCCAGGTGCCGAACACGAAAAAGAACCACCAATCTTCGAGAAATCTATCTTTTTCATGTTCGAGTGTCTTTGAAGTGGGGCATTCCTGCAGCGCGGAGGGGTTGGGCTGGGACTGGGATAGTAAACTTGGGACTTCAGCTCGGATGATGCCAAGTTCAAGAACCTCCGAACTGCCCATGAATGGGTTTGGGTTGAGGATTTGGTTGATCTTACCTTTGGTAAGTAAGGAATGGAGGAGTGGGGTATAATTATAACTACTTTCCATTCCCTACTAACCAAAGGTAAGTGATTTCATGACATGGACTGCTGGCAGGCCCTACACGATGATGCAGAACCCGAGATAGCTGCGCCTCTCGCAGAGGCGCGGTTCAGAGCTGCGGGGCATGAAGGCAAGGGCTATTCAGGGTTCAGGATGTAGGGATTACGAATTGAAGCATTCTACAAGAGTTTCTACACGGGTCACTACCAACGTGTTGTTTGTCTGTCATCTTCTGGCGTGTGTTGGCGGGCATTGGAGCAAGACGTAGGTGATTTGGCAGGCATTTCTTTAGGTATAGGTATTATAGGTATCAGGTATTACAAAATACTTTTAATCGAGATCATCATTGTAAGAATCATAAGTTAATGACAACAAGATTAAAGCGTTTTATGTGTCGCTGTAGGATTATGTAGGTGTTCATACGGGTGCCTTTATAATTACTGTACTGGGGATATTTTGCATACTTACGGTGTGGAATGTAGGGTGTAACGACGACCACCGCCCGTTTTGGAGTTTTCGAAACCGCGCCAAGCAGTTGGCCGAACAGCGCGGCCCTGCCCTAAGGCCCTGAACCCTCCCAAATCCCGAAACCAGGAGCCCAAGGTGTGGGGTTGCAGCAACGGGTCTTATGTAGGGCTTCGGGATTTCAGGGTTTGGGGCTTTTGGCTCAGGGGTTTGGTCTGGGGGCTGTGCGTCGGAACCAGCACTCAATCCGATTCCAAGTGCACTATACTTGGAGGTTCATGGGTAATTATAAGTGGAAATACAAGTAGGGTAACTATAGTTGTAACCCATATTAGGGGACTTGTAACCCTACTTAAAACTACCCATGAACCTCCAAGTACCCCCGTTCTAATTCAAGGTCCATTGTTTTTTTTGCACTTTTCAGAACAGTCTAAGCACAGGAGCTCGCGACTTCAGCAGCCATGGCCGAGGAAGTACCGCTGAGGGTTTTTGTGGCTTATAACGACGGGGCCCTATCAGGGTATCAGGCAAGTCTAAGGGCTGTGGTTTATGCTTATAGGAGTTCTAGGATTCCGCGTTTAGGGCATCTTAAACCGCCTTCATGTACTTGCTTTAGGCTCCTTTGTTAAGCCCCTCGTGCAGAATTTAACGCGTACCCAGACAGGTACAGCAGTTGCGTCAAGTCAGGGTAGCTTGTATAGTATGGGCTGGAAAACTACGTATAGACGTAAAACTACGTATGTGCAATCGAACACATGGCATGAACATGTATATATATATATATATATATATATATATATATTGTTGCTAACTTATGTAGTATCTGCTATATCTATATAGGTATATGAATATAATGACGTGTGTATACATATACACGTGTATGTATGTATGTATGTATGTATGTATGTAGGTATGTACGTATAGTACATACAAACATGCGTGCATGCATGCATAGGTGCAGAAGCTTGGTTTTTTGTGTATATGAGGCAGTTTGCAAAGTGCCCCGGCACCCGCCCCAATTCATGCAGGCCATCCAAGCCTGCAACTTATACCCCAGCCCCAAGCTTCCGAAACCCTCGCCACTCAAGGCCTCAACCATAAATTGCAAGCTTTTTTCCGCCCAAACCTAAAACATCTTTCAGATCCTAAACCTAAACCGGTACATAATTCGCAGCGTGGCTCCTTCTTGTATACGTACAACGGGTCAGGTAGACGAGCAGTTGAATCCAATGTGCGACGCCGGCTAAATCGGCAGCAGTCCCATGCATGAGAATTGCTATGACAAAGTTAAAGCAACAACAGCCCCTGCCGTGTTGCGTAATTGATTATACGGGCGTGCATAACTACTAATCTTATTTTGGTGTGCTTTATTAGAACCGTGGTGTTATACTCTCCCCCAAACTCTGTTCTAATTATTAAGGCCCCCGATACTGTAGTACCCTTATAGATCCCTTATAGTAAGCCTTATAGACCCCAAATCCCAATCCTAAGTATTAAGGCCCCTAACATAGGGAACCCTTTAAGGATCCCTTCAAATCAACCCTATTCTCATTATGAAGGCACCCTAAATTACGTCAGGAGCAGGAGCCTGCATCTCCGGCTGAGGCTGTGGATGCCGAGGCATGCTTCCTCCGTTCACTGGGCTTTGGAGTAATTACCATAAACACTTTTTGGGGAACCGTTACTTAAAGGGAGCCCTTTATGAACTAAAAGTCTATACTTCTTTTCCCGTGGTTACTTCAAAGTCCAGTTCACTGCCAGTTACCTGGAGGTTTAGTTTAGGGTTGTAGCAATTTAGAGGCTTAGGGTTTATAGCGGTTTAGGGCTTAGGGCTCCTGGGGTTCAGTTTTTGGGGTGCGTGGGGTTTGGGGTTTAGGGGTTTAGGGTATAGGAGGATTTATAGGGTTCATGGGTAGTTATATGTGGGGTTATATGTACTCGTAGGGCTATAACCCCTATGACGGGACTTATAACCACCATGAGCCTCAAAGTACCCTCAGAATGCCGCTGAGTTGCGGAGCCGTCGATATCACGAGCTTGCGGCCCAGCGTTCACAAAAGTCCATACAGCATACGTGACCCATCGGCCTGTCTACCTCAAACCACCATTGCTGACTGGGCATATGAACATTGCAAACCCCAAACCCTAAGCCCTAAACCCCTAAACCCCAAACCCCACTGCAGGCAGTGGTGCCGCAAGATACGGCGGACGGTGAGCCAGACAAGGCGCTTAGTTTCAAGGGCCTAATAAGAAGTTCGTGTATTGTTTTGGGGGTTGCATATTATGATTCTAATATAATGGGCCCCAGTGCCCTATTCTAACTATGATACGGCCCTTATAATAGTGTAAAGACCCAAGGACGAGGGCAGACAAAGAGCGACACCGCACGCTTAGCTATCGGTGTTTTATTCAGGTGCTCATGAGCGCCTATAGAGATCGGTGCTTGCTGAGTCCCGGCTTCTGTGCAGGCTTCCGATGGCGACATGCCTTCGGACGGCCATTCCAGTGATGGCCGGCAAGCTGCAGAAACAGAGGCCAGAAGCACATATCGATCTGCTTCGCCTTGCTGCGGTCGCACTGCTTCCTCAACAGTCATGCAGGTGTTCTCGATAACTAAACAGATGCACTGTTCTTTGAGAGTGTTCAAGATGTGTGACTCAAGTTGATTATGTAAGCATGAGCCCTAAAAAAGTAGCAAGAGCAGGAGGTTCAAGTCTAGATAATGCTTTTCGTATGAAGAAAGGTCTTGAGTAAGTTTTACCATGCCAAGCGTGGCAGAGGCCTGAAACGGTTTCTCTGCCATGGAACCGATGTTTGGCAGTCTCTCCGAGTTCCTACACCCTAAACCCTAAACCCCCCGATCCGATCAGGAGAGTGAGTCGTCATCGGCAGTTGCCCAAGGGCCTGGCGCCGAGGCTTCCATCTCTAACCAGGGTTTAGGGTTTAGGGTTTGGGGTTTAGGGTATGTATATATATATATATATAGATAGATATAGATATAGATATAGATATAGATATAGATAGAGGGTTTAGGGTTTAGGGTTCATGTGAGAGTGCTTTCAAGACGAGAGATGCAGGAATTCCCCCCCGGCCGACTCAAGCTGAAAAATTGACCGCCGGTCGAGACCTTCAAAATTCGTAGAACGCCTCGATATGAAAAGCTTGCTGGGGCCAGGATGGCGCTGCGGAGACTGCTTCCGTGGAGGCCAGTCGAGCGTTCCATCTGACCCCGGAGCCTGCGCCTGGTTTGCAACCTCAGCAGCACGTGCCCCGTGAACGCCATGTTTCCTGCCGCGACATCTATCACACACGGCAGGAGCTGCTGGCCCACATCGACAACACTAACCTTGAGGAGGAGCAGCTTCGAGAACTGCAGTCCCCAGATGAGGCAACTGGCACATAACTGCATCGTTGCTGGTTTCCGTGGGATTTACAGCGATGCTCCGGGGGATTCGAAAGGGATAGGGATACTGCTATTGGGCGTCTGGGATCTTATCATGATTGTGCCTGGGCACGCAGGCATGTGTGCTGCAAGACTCGGTGGATAGCGAGCAAGACGAGGCGCAAATTTTCGACCTTCGGCCGTTCAGGTTGTCGCAAACTCTACAGTCACTACAGAACCGGGGCAAACAGCAGACTTGGTTGTTGATGCATGTAGGCATTTAGCAGTGGAGCTTGGAATAAACAAACAAACAAGCCACCAAGCAAGCAAGCATACATACATCCATCATACATGCCTGTAAAAGCCGAATGTTTGTTTCAATCCAGGGTAAGTCAACGACGTTCGAATAACACTGTTGAACTCTGAGAAGTTGAACAAACGAGTTGCAACCTCCTTTCGTGTATGTACGTATGTATTTGTGTATGTACTGTATGTACGTATGTATGTATGTACGTACGTATGTATGTATGTATGCATAATGTAGGCGATGCCACATACGGTATTCACCTAATGTACTAATATATATATATATATATATATATATGTATGTGTGTGTGTGTTTTCGTGATTGGGTGTATATATGTATATACACAGATGTACGTGTATGTATTAACTATTAACATATATATATATATATATATATATATATACACATATACACATGGTCTATGCAATATCCGGATGCTGAGTCTCGGCTGCCACAAGGCCTCCGATGTCCCTGTGCCTTCGGATGGCCATTCTAGCGATGATGGTCGCGAAGCTGCAGCCGCAGAGGCCAGAAGCACTGATCATATGTATTGCTTGCTCAAAAGTGCCACCACACTGTTGTTGAAGAGTTGTGAAGCTTGACAGGCTGTGTGTTGCTCCAGCGGGTGCGGTAGTCGAGAGTCCCAAGCAAGAGTTCTCTATGGGAAGCAAGCCTGAAACGGCATCTATCGGGCAGAATGAATTTCTCTGTAGATGCCCTCTTCTCCTATGTACCCCCCACTGGTTTCGTGTCCGTTCAGGAGTGCGAGCCGTCAGCGCAGGTTGCTACAACTGCCGTTGCCGAGGCATGTTTCCGTCTTTGAGCAATCAAGCTGCAGTCCACACTTGATCTGCGGTCAAGACTGCCCAACCTTCGGCGGTCTCGATACTGGGAGCCTGTTTCGGCCAGGAGGGCGCAGAGATTGCCTCCATGGAGGCTAGTCTTTCAACGGGGACTGTTCGGTGTGACCCAGATTGTCATCGCATGATTCGCAACCTGGGCCTAGGCATTGCATGCCCCCTGAACTTCCCTGAACGCCATGTTTATTGTGGTGGTATCTGTCACATGCGGCAGGAGTTTCTGGCCCAGATCGACAGCACCAACCTTGAGCAGGAGCAGCTTCGAGAACTGCAGTCCCCAGATGAGGCAACTGTCGCAGACCTGCATCGCTGCTGCTAGCCGGCGTGGGGTTTACAGAGATGCTCTGGTAGGATTCGACAGGTATAGGCATAGACATGCCGCTGCTATTGGGTGTCTCAAATCTCGCCATTGTTGCTGACTGAGCGCCTGGGCACGCAGGCACGTGCGCGGCAAGACACGGTGGACAGTGAGGAAGACGAGGCGCCAAGTTTCGACTTTCAGCAGTGCAGGTTGTTAAGATCGACCTACCTGTAACCGAGTCCTTGTCTAAATCCCCGTGTCTTGCTCCTTTTTTCTCATCTCCCCTGTGAGGTATGTAATGTCGGAACCTGATTAAGAAACCCTGGTAGCACACAAATTTTGAACTCAAATGAAGACCCCGGGCTTCTTGTCTTGATCAGGTTGCTGTATTAATCAGCAGCTCATTGAACGGCTGGGCAGTAGAGCTCGCAGCAGTCGAGGACAAGGGCAAGTCGAGGTCCGTCGAAGGAAAGCCTGTGCAAAAGAACTCCGTGAAGGTAAAAGATCAGCGGTAACCACCCGTCATGTATGCATAAGTATATACATATATACATATATGTACACGCACATACGTTGGTTCAGATATATACTTGTATAGACAAACACACACACACACACACACACACACACACACCTGAAACACATACACACATATACAGATCTATATATATATATATATATATATATACAAATATGTGTATGTATACACACATATTTGTATATATGTTTACAGGCATTTGTATGTGTATGTGAATATATATATATATATATATATGCATATACACACAGGTGTTCATAGATGTGTACATACATGTATACACTTGTGTGCATTGACACGGGTATGCCAACATATCTATGTATGTATGTATGTATGTATGTTTGTGTGTTTGTGTATATATGTACATATATATATATACATGTAGAGAGAGAGAGAGAGAGAGAGAGAGAGAGAGAGAGAGAGAGAGAGAGAGAGGTTTATGTGGTCTACGATGCGTTCGGATGTTGAGTCTCGGCTGCTGCAAAGGCCTCCGATGTCCACGTGCCTTCGAATGGCCGTTCCAGCGATGCTGGTCGCGAAGCTGCAGCCGGAGAGGCCAGAACCACTGATCGTATGTACTGCTTGCACAAAAGACGCACAGTTGCCACCACGCTGTTGTTGAAGATTTGTGAAGTTTGACAGGCTGTGTGTTTCTCCAGCTAGAAGAAAGAGTTCTCTATGGGAAGCAAGCCTGAAACGGCATCTATCGGGCAGAATGAATTTCTCTGTAGATGCCCTCTTCTCCTATGTACCCCCCACTGGTTTCGTGTCCGTTCAGGAGTGCGAGCCGTCAGCGCAGGTTGCTACAACTGCCGTTGCCGAGGCATGTTTCCGTCTTTGAGCAATCAAGCTGCAGTCCACACTTGATCTGCGGTCAAGACCGCCCAACCTTCGGCGGTCTCGATACTGCGAGCCTGTTTCGGCCAGCAGGGCGCAGAGATTGCCTCCATGGAGGCTAGTCTTTCAACGGGGACTGTTCGGTGTGACCCAGATTGTCATCGCATGATTCGCAACCTGGGCCTAGGCATTGCATGCCCCCTGAACTTCCCTGAACGCCATGTTTATTGTGGTGGTATCTGTCACATGCGGCAGGAGTTTCTGGCCCAGATCGACAGCACCAACCTTGAGCAGGAGCAGCTTCGAGAACTGCAGTCCCCAGATGAGGCAACTGTCGCAGACCTGCATCGCTGCTGCTAGCCGGCGTGGGATTTACAGAGATGCTCTGGTAGGATTCGACAGGTATAGGCATAGACATGCAGCTGCTATTGAGTGTCTCAAATCTCGCCATTATTGCTGACTGAGCGCCTGGGCACGCAGGCACGTGCGCGGCAAGACACGGTGGACAGTGAGGAAGACGAGGCGCCAAGTTCGACCTTCGGCAGTGCAGGTTGTTGCGATCGCTGAAGAACTAGTCTGATTTCCGTGGCTCGCTCCTTTTATCATCTCCCTGTGAGATATGCAATCAAAAGCTCGTTGGGCGATAGAGTCAATAGAGCTCACAGGAGTCGAGGATAAGGGCAAAGTCAAGGTCAGTCGAAGGAAAACCTTCGTACAGAATATGTGTAAAGAGTTTTCAGAGTGTATTTACAAATAATACAGAAAGAGGCACACGCACGTGTATGTATGTGTATATATATATATATATACATATAATGTACATACATGGTCTGTGACGCAAGGATGAGTCTCAGTTGCTGTAAAGGCTTCCGACATCCGTGCGCCTTCACCTGGCCGTTCCAGCGATGATGAGGCCAGAAAGACTCATCACATGTATTGCCTCCTCACAGGGCATGCAGGCGTTCTCGATAGTGTGCACACTAATCACCACACTGTTGTTGTAGAGTTGTGTTGTTTGACAGGCGTGTTGCTCCAGTGCATGCGGTATTCCCGGTAAGCGTGAGTCCCGAGAAAGAGTTCCCTGTGGGAGGCAAGCTTGAAACGGCTCCTTATAGTATATTATAGAACAGTATATTAATTCGTATAGTATATTCTAGTGTAGTGTGGCGATGAAGTAGAACGGATTTCTTTGCAGATGCCCCCTGCTCCGATTCAACTGACTGCGACCCATCCGATCAGGAGTGCGAGCCGTCACCGCCCGCTGCTACAGCTGCGCTTGCCGAGGCATGCTTCCGTCTCTGATGTCGGAGGTCCTTCAATGCGAAGCAGGTAGGAATGGCCCCTGCGTGCACAATAAACCTGCAATCAATAATTATTTTGCGGGGGTCGAGACCTTTTAGTCATGGACTGCTTCAATATTGTAAGCTTGTTGCCGCCAGGAGGGTGCAGAGACAGTAGAGAGTGAGTGCTCCATGTGGCGCAGGCCACCGCATGATTCGCAAACAGCAGTAGGACATATTGGCCCAGATCGACAACAGCAACGTTGAGCAGGAGCAGCTTCGGGAACCGCCGTCCCCAGATGAGGCTGTCGCGGAACTGCATCGCTGCTGATTTCGTAGCTGCTAGTCGTCGCCGAATTTACAGCGATGCCCTGATGGAATTCGACAGTATAGGCATACTCAAACCGTTGTTGCTGACTTGGCAACTGGGCGCGCAGGCGCTGGTGCCACAGGAGACGGTGGACAGTGAGGAAGACGAGGCGCCAAGTTTCCAGCTTCGGCCGTACTGACCTTTGGTTAGGAGGGACTGGAATAATGGTAGTAATAGTACTTATAATTGTACCCCATTCCTCCATTCCCTACTAACCAAAGGTAAGATGCACAGTCACTAAAGAACCAGGGCAGACAGAACACTTGGTTATGGATAGTTGATGATGTATCCGGATGCTGAGTCTCGGTTGCATGCGAGGCCTCCGATGTCCCTCTTCGGTCGGATGGCCATTCCAGCGATGATGGTCGCGAAGCTGCAGCCGCAGAGGCCAGAAACACTTATCTTATGCGTTGCCGCGTCAAAGGTCGCGTAGGCATTTCGGTGAGCTGCACGACTGCCATCAGAGTGTTGTCAGTTGATCGAGAGTTATTCCACTTGACAGTCTGCATATTGCTCCAGGGGATGCTGTAATCATTCGTCCCGGCGTAGGAAGCGAGATATTGTAAAGCCAAGAATGTGCAAATGCTGAACACGGCTTCGAACCCGTACAACGGATTTCTGTCAAGATGTACCCTTCTCGCAAATTTTCTCACTGGTTCCGTGTCCGATCAGGAGTGCGAGCCGTCAGCGCTGGCTGATACAGCTGCCGTTGCTGAGGCATGCCCCCGTCTCTGCGTTGTGGTGTGATGAGGGAGTTCTTTCAAAACGAGATAGGAATGGCCCCTGCGAGCCCAATCAAATTGATCTGCGGTTGAGCCCTTGCAGTCGTGGATTGCCTGGATTTTGTGAGCCTTTTTGTGGCCAGGAGGGCGCGAAGATTGCTTCCATGAAGGCCGGCGCATCAATGGAGCGACCCAGAGTGACCGCACGATTCGCAACCTAGGCCTAGGCATACTAGGCATCACTTTTCCCGCCATGTTATAGTTTCTAGCAGCGGCATCTATCACGCACGGCAGGAGATGCTGGCCGAGATCGACAACACCAGCCTTGAGCAGGAGCAGCTTCGAGAACTCCCGCCCCCAGATGAGGCAACTGTCACAACATGTCACAACTGCATTGCGACTGGTTTCGTAGCTGCTGGTACGGTATCTGCTGCCGGGATCTACAGGGAGGAGCACTTGTAGGCTTCGACAGTATATCCGTGCCACTGCGCCCTTTCCTCGTTCGTCTGTTCGGTGATACTATCGGGCGCCTCAAACCACTATTGCTGACTTGGCATCCGGGCATGCAGGCACATGTGCCACAAAAGGCGGCGGACAGTGAGGAAGACCAGGCGCCAAGTGTCGAGCTTCGGCTGTATAGGTTGCAGCTTGCGCAATCACTAAAGAACCAGGGCAGACAGCACACTTGGTGCTCGACAGTCGATACGAGTTTTTTTGCGGATGCTGAGTCTCGGTTGCTTTCGAGGCCTCCGATGTCTCTGTGCCGTCGGATGGCCGTTCCAGCGATGATGGTCACGAAGCTGCAGCAACAGAGGCCAGAAACACTCACCGCATGTCTTGCTGACTTGCTGCCTCAAAAGGCGTGTTGGCGTTCTGGATAGCTTGCACAACTGCAAGTGTGTTTTTGGAGAGTGATGATGTTTGTCAGGCTGCATGGTGCTGAAGTGAATGCTGCAGAGCTTGGTCGCGAGAAACAGTCTTTAGTGGAAAGCAAGTTTCTTGTGTCCGATCAGGAGTGCGAACCGTCAGCGCCGGCTGCTACAGCTGCCCTTGCTGAGGCATGCTCCCGTCTCTGTGTTGTGGTGTGATGAGGGAGTTCTTTCAAAACGAGATAGGAATGGCCCCTGCGAGCCCAATCAAATTGATCTGCGGTCGAGCCCTTGCAGTCGTGGATTGCCTGGATTTTGTGAGCCTTTTAGTGGCCAGGAGGGCACGAAGATTGCTTCCATGAAGGCCAGCGCATCAATGGAGCGACCCAGAGTCACCGCACGATTCGCAACCTAGGCCTAGGCATATTATTAGGCATCACCTGTCCCGCCATGTTACAGTTTCTAGCAGCGGCATCTATCACGCACGGCAGGAGATGCTGGCCGAGATCGACAACACCAGCCTTGAGCAGGAGCAGCTTCGAGAACTCCCGCCCCCAGATGAGGCAACTGTCACATAACTGCATCGCGACCGGTTTCGTAGCTGCTGGTACAGTATCTGCTGCCGGGATCTACAGCGAGGAGCACTTGTAGGCTTCGACAGTATATCCGTGCCACTGCGCCCTTTCGTCCGGTCGTCTGTTCGGTGATACTATCGGGCGCCTCAAACCACTATTGCTGACTTGGCATCCGGGCATGCAGGCACGTGTGCCACAAAAGACGGCGGACAGTGAGGAAGACCAGGCGCCAAGTGTCGAGCGTCGGCTGTATAGGTTGCGGCTTGCGCAATCACTAAAGAACCAGGGCAGACAGCACACTTGGTTGTCTATGATAGTCGATAATGATCGAGATTTTCTTGCGGATGCTGAGTCTCGGTTTCTTTCGAGGCCTCCGATGTCTCTGTGCCGGCGGATGGCCGTTCCAGCGATGATGGTCACGAAGCTGCAGCAACAGAGGCCAGAAACACTCATCGCATGTCTTGCTGCCTCGAAAGGCGTGCTGGCGTTCTGGAGAGCTTGCACAACTGCCAGTCTGTTTTTGGAGAGTGATGATGTTTGTGAGGCTGCATGTTGCTGAAGTGAATGCTGTAGCCATGAGTCGCGAGAAACAGTTCTTTGTAGAAAACAAGTTTCTTGCGTCCGATCAGGAGTGCGAACCGTCAGCGCTGGCTGCTACAGCTGCCGTTGCTGAGGCATGCTCCCGGTGTGATGAGGGAGTTCTTTCAAAACGAGATAGGAATGGCCCAATCAAATTGATCTGCATTTGAGCCCTTGCAGTCGCGGATTGCCTGGATTTTGTGAGCCTTTTTGTGGCCAGGCGGGCGCGAAGATTGCTTCCATGAAGGCCAGCGCGTCAATGGAGCGACCCAGAGTCACCGCACGATTCGCAACCTAGGCCTAGGCATATTATTAGGCATCACCTGTCCCGCCATGTTACAGTTTCTAGCAGCGGCATCTATCACGCACGGCAGGAGATGCTGGCCGAGATCGACAACACCAGCCTTGAGCAGGAGCAGCTTCGAGAACTCCCGCCCCCAGATGAGGCAACTGTCACATAACTGCATCGCGACCGGTTTCGTAGCTGCTGGTACAGTATCTGCTGCCGGGATCTACAGCGAGGAGCACTTGTAGGCTTCGACAGTATATCCGTGCCACTGCGCCCGCCCTTTCCTCCGTTCGTCTGTTCGGTGATACTATCGGGCGCCTCAAACCACTATTGCTGACTTGGCATCCGGGCATGCAGGCACGTGTGCCACAAAAGACGGCGGACAGTGAGGAAGACCAGGCGCCAAGTGTCGAGCGTCGGCTGTATAGGTTGCGGCTTGCGCAATCACTAAAGAACCAGGGCAGGCAGCACACTTGGTTATCTATGATAGTCGATAATGATCGAGAATTTTTTGCGGATGCTGAGTCTCGGTTTCTTTTGAGGCCTTTGATGTCCCTGTGCCGTCGGATGGCCGTTCCAGCGATGATGGTCACGAAGCTGCAGCCGCAGAGGCCAGAAACACTCATCGCATGTCAAATTGGAAAGCTGGCGTTCTGGATAGCTCGCACAACTGCCAGTTTGTTTTTGGAGAGTGATGATGTTTGTGAGGCTGCATGCTGCTGAAGTGATTGCTGTAGCCAAGCCATGAGTCGCGAGAAACAGTTCTTTGTGGCAGCAAGTTTCTTGCATCCGATCAGGAGTGCGAACCGTCAGCGCTGGCTGCTACAGCTGCCCTTGCTGAGGCATGCTCCCGTCTCTGTGTTGTGGTGTGATGAGGGAGTTCTTTCAAAACGAGATAGGAATGGCCCATGCGAGCCATTGCGAGCCCAATCAAATTGATCTGCTGTCGAGCCCTTGCAGTCGCGGATTGCCTGGATTTTGTGAGCCTTTTTGTGGCCAGGAGGGCGCGAAGATTGCTTCCATGGAGGCCAGCGCGTCAATGGAGCGACCCAGAGTGACTGCACGATTCGCAACCTAGGGGCATATTAGGCATCACCTGTCCCGCTAAAGCCATGTTTCTTGCAGGGGCATCTGTCATGCACGGCAGGAGATGCTGGCCGAGATCGACAACACCAGCTTTGAGCAGGAGCAGCTTCGAGAACTCCCGCCCCCAGATGAGGCAACTGCCACATAACTGCATTGCGACTGGTTTCGTAGCTGCTGGTACAGTATCTGCTGCCGGGATCTACAGCGAGGAGCACTTGTAGGCTTCGACAGTATATCCGTGCCACTGCGCCCTTTCGTCCGGTCGTCTGTTCGGTGATACTATCGGGCGCCTCAAACCACTATTGCTGGCTTGGCATCCGGGCATGCAGGCACGTGTGCCACAAAAGGCGGCGGACAGTGAGGAAGACCAGGCGCCAAGTGTCGAGCTTCGGCTGTATAGGTTGCGGCTTGCGCAATCACTAACTAAAGAACCAGGGCAGACAGCACACTTGGTTATCTATGATAGTCGAGAATGATCGAGATTTTTTTTGCGGATGCTGAGTCTCGGTTTCTTTCGAGGCCTCTGATGTCCCTGTGCCGTCGGATGCCCTTTCCAGCGATGATGGTCAAGAAGCTGCAGCAACAGAGGCCAGAAACACTCATCGCATGTCAAATTGGAAAGCTGGCGTTCTGGATAGCTCGCACAACTGCCAGTTTGTTTATGGAGAGTGATGATGTTTGTGAGGCTGCATGTTGCTGAAGTGAATGCTGTAGCCATGAGTCGCGAGAAACAGTTCTTTGTAGAAAACAAGTTTCTTGCGTCCGATCAGGAGTGCGAGCCGTCAGCGCCGGCTGCTACAGCTGCCCTTGCTGAGGCATGCTCCCGTCTCTGTGTTGTGGTGTGATGAGGGAGTTCTTTCAAACGAGATAGGAATGGCCCAATCAAATTGATCTGCGGCTGAGCCCTTGCAGTCGCGGATTGCCTGGATTTTGTGAGCCTTTTTGTGGCCAGGAGGGCGCGAAGATTGCTTCCATGGAGGCCAGCGCGTCAATGGAGCGACCCAGAGTCACCGCACGATTCGCAACCTAGGCCTAGGCATATTAGGCATCACCTGTCCCGTTAATGCCATGTTTCTTGCAGGAGCATCTATCATGCACGGCAGGAGATGCTGGCCGAGATCGACAACACCAGCTTTGAGCAGGAGCAGCTTCGAGAACTCCCGCCCCCAGATGAGGCAACTGTCACAACTGCATTGCGACTGGTTTCGTAGCTGCTGGTACGGTATCTGCTGCCGGGATCTACAGCGAGGAGCACTTGTAGGCTTCGACAGTATATCCGTGCCACTGCGCCCGCCCTTTCCTCCGTTCGTCTGTTCGGTGATACTATCGGGCGCCTCAAACCATTGCTGACTTGGCATCCGGGCATGCAGGCACGTGTGCCACAAAAGACGGCGGACAGTGAGGAAGACCAGGCGCCAAGTGTCGAGCTTCGGCTGTATAGGTTGCGGCTTGCGCAATCACTAAAGAACCAGGGCAGACAGCACACTTGGTTATCTATGATAGTCGATAATGATCGAGATTTGTTTGCGGATGCTGAGTCTCGGTTTCTTTCGAGGCCTCCGATGTCTCTGTGCCGTCGGATGGCCGTTCCAGCGATGATGGTCACGAAGCTGCAGCAACAGAGGCCAGAAACACTCATCGCATGTCTTGCTGCCTCGAAAGGCGTGCTGGCGTTCTGGAGAGCTTGCACAACTGCCAGTCTGTTTTTGGAGAGTGATGATGTTTGTGAGGCTGCATGTTGCTGAAGTGAATGCTGTAGAGCTTGGTCGCGAGAAACAGTTCTTAGTGGAAAGCAAGTTTCTTGCGTCCGATCAGGAGTGCGAACCGTCAGCGCCGGCTGCTACAGCTGCCGTTGCTGAGGCATGCTCCCGTCTCTGCATATCTGTTTCGAGCCCTTGCAGTCGCGGATTGCCTGGATTTTGTGAGCCTTTTTGTGGCCAGGAGGGCGCGAAGATTGCTTCCATGGAGGCCAGCGCGTCAATGGAGCGACCCAGAGTCACCGCACGATTCGCAACCTAGGCCTAGGCATATTAGGCATCACCTGTCCCGTTAAAGCCATGTTTCTTGCAGGAGCATCTATCATGCACGGCAGGAGATGCTGGCCGAGATCGACAATGACACCAGCTTTGAGCAGGAGCAGCTTCGAGAACTCCCGCCCCCAGATGAGGCAACTGTCACAACTGCATTGCGACTGGTTTCGTAGCTGCTGGTACGGTATCTGCTGCCGGGATCTACAGCGACGAGCACTTGTAGGCTTCGACAGTATATCCGTGCCTCTGCGCCTTTTTGTCCGTTCGTCTGTTCGGTGATACTATCGGGCGCCTCAAACCACTTGCTGACTTGGCATCCGGGCATGCAGGCACGCGTGCCACAAAAGACGGTGGACAGTGAGGAAGACCAGGCGCCAAGTGTCGAGCTTCGGCTGTATAGGTTGCAGCTTGCGCAATCACTAAAGAACCAGGGCAGACAGCACACTTGGTTATCGATAGTCGAGATTTGTTTGCGGATGATGAGTCTCGGTTGCTGTCGAGGCATCCTCCGATGTCCCTGTGCCGTCAGATGGCTGTTCCGGCGATGATGGTCGCGAAGCTGCAGCCGCAGAGGCCAGAAACACTAGTATCGCAATGTAGTGCTTCGTCGCAGGGCGGGCTGCGCGCTGCTCCATCCAGTGGATGCTGGAATCATGAGTCATCATGACAACACCGGAGAAAAAGTTCTTAATACAAAGCAAGTTTCTGTCAAGCCGAGCCGGTACAGACGCCTGAAAGGGCAGCTATTCCGTAGAACGGATGTCTTTGCAGATCCCCTTTGCTCCTATAACCCGCCCACTGGTTCCGTGTCCGATCAGGAGTGCGAGCCGTCAGCGCCCGCTGCTACAGCTACGGTTGCCGAGGCATGCTAGCCCAATCGACCTGCAATCAACACCTGATCTGCGGTCGAGACCGCGCAACCTTCAGACGGTCTCGATATTTTGAGCGTCTTTGGCCAGGAGGGCGCGGAGATTGCTTCCATGGAGGCCAGCGCTCAACGGAGAGTGTTCCTCGCGACCCAGACTCACCGCATGATTCGCAACCTAGGCCTAGGCATCACGTGTCCCGTGAATGCCATGTTTCTCGCAGCGGCAACTAACACACACTGCAGGAGTTGCTGGCACAGATCGACAACACCAACCTCGATTCGGAGCAGCTTCGAGAACTCCCGTCCCCAGACGAGGCAACATGTGACATACCATCGCGACTGGGTTCGTTGCTGCTGGTTTCTGCTGCCGAAATCTACAGCTTCTGGGCACGCAGGCACGTGTGCCACAAGAGACGGTGGACAGTGAGCAAGACGAGGCGCCAAGTCTCGACCTTCGGCTGTACAGATCGTCGTAATCACTATAAATAGAACCAGGGCAGACAGCACTCTCAGTCATCGACAATGTACTTAGATGCTGAGTCTCGGCTGCTGTCGAGGCGTCCGATGTCCCTGTGCCTTCGGATGGTCGCGAAGCTGCAGCTGCAGAGGCCAGAAACACTCGTATAGTATCGTCACAGGGCGTGCAGGCGTGCTGGATAGCTTGCGCAACTGCCACCCAACTGTCACTATAGGGACGTGTGTCTTTTCAATGGCTGCGTGGTGCTCCATCCAGTGGATGCTGGAATCATGAGTGATCATGAGAACCCCGAATAAAAGTTCTTAGTAGAAAGCACGTTTCTGTCAAGCCGAGCCTGTGCAAACACCGGCTGCTATTCCGTAGAACGGATGTCTTTGCAGATGCCCTTTGCTCCTATAACCCCCCACTGGTTCCGTGTCCGATCAGGAGTGCGAGCCGTCAGCGCCCGCTGCTACAGCTGCGGTTGCCGAGGCATGCTTCGACTCTGACATGGGAGTTATTCCAAAACTTAAACGAGACCGGCCCCTGCGAGCCCAATCGCCCTGCAATCAACACTTGATCTGCGCTCGAGACCGCCCAACCTTCAGACGGTCTCGATATTGAGAGCGTGTTTCGGCCAGGAGGGCGCAGAGATTGCTTCCATGGAGGCCAGCGCTCAACGGAGAGTGTTCCTCGTGACCCAGACTCACCGCATGATTCGCAACCTAGGCCTAGGCATCACGTGTCCCGTGAATGCCATGTTTCTCGCAGCGGCAACTAACACACACTGCAGGAGTTGCTGGCACAGATCGACAACACCAACCTTGAGTCGGAGCAGCTTCGAGAACTCCCGTCCCCAGACGAGGCAACATGTGACATACCATCGCGACTGGGTTCGTTGCTGCTGGTTTCTGCTGCCGAAATCTACAGCTTCTGGGCACGCAGGCACGTGTGCCACAAGAGACGGTGGACAGTGAGCAAGACGAGGCGCCAAGTCTCGACCTTCGGCTGTACAGATCGTCGTAATCACTATAAAACTAGAACCAGGGCAGACAGCACTCTCAGTCATCGACAATGTACTTAGATGCTGAGTCTCGGCGGCTGTCGAGGCGTCCGATGTCCCTGTGCCTTCGGATGGTCGCGAAGCTGCAGCCGCAGAGGCCAGAAACACTCGTAGTATGGCAATGAATTCCTTCGTCACAGGGCGTGCAGGCGTGCTGGATAGCTTGCGCAACTGCCACCCAACTTTCACTACAGGGACGTGTGTCTTTTCACTGGCTGCGTGCTGCTCTATCCAGTGGATGCTGGAATCATGAGTCATCATGACAACACCGGAGAAAAAGTTCTTAGTAGAAAGCACGTTTCCGTCAAGCCGAGCGTGTGCAAACACCGGCTGCTATCCCGTAGACCGGATGTCTTTGCAGATGCCCTTTGCTCCTATAACCCCACTGGTTCCGTGTCCGATCAGGAGTGCGAGCCGTCAGCGCCCGCTGCTACAGCTGCGGTTGCGGAGGCATGCTTCCGTCTCTGACATGGGAGTTATTCCAAAACTTAAACGAGACAGGCCCCTGCGAGCCCAATCGACCTGCCATCAACAATTGATCTGCGGTCGAGACCGCCCAACCTTCAGACGGCCTCGATATTCAGAGCGTGTTTCGGCCAGGAGGGCGCAGAGATTGCTTCCATGGAGGCCAGCGCTCAACGGAGAGTGTTTCCTTGTGACCCAGACTCACCGCATGATTCGCAACCTAGGCCTAGGCATAACGTGTCCCGTGAATGCCATGTTTCTCGCAGCGGCAACTAACACACACTGCAGGAGTTGCTGGCACAGATCGACAACACCAACCTTGAGTCGGAGCAGCTTCGAGAACTCCCGTCCCCAGACGAGGCAACATGTGACATACCATCGCGACTGGGTTCGTTGCTGCTGGTTTCTGCTGCCGAAATCTACAGCTTCTGGGCACGCAGGCACGTGTGCCACAAGAGACGGTGGACAGTGAGCAAGACGAGGCGCCAAGTCTCGACCTTCGGCTGTACAGATCGTCGTAATCACTATAAATAGAACCAGGGCAGACAGCACTCTCAGTCATCGACAATGTACTTAGATGCTGAGTCTCGGCTGCTGTCGAGGCGTCCGATGTCCCTGTGCCTTCGGATGGTCGCGAAGCTGCAGCCGCAGAGGCCAGAAACACTCGTATAGTATCGTCACAGGGCGTGCAGGCGTGCTGGATAGCTTGCGCAACTGCCACCCAACTGTCACTATAGGGACGTGTGTCTTTTCACTGGCTGCGTGCTGCTCCATCCAGTGGATGCTGGAATCATGAGTGATCATGAGAACCCCGAATAAAAGTTCTTAGTAGAAAGCACGTTTCTGTCAAGCCGAGCCTGTGCAAACACCGGCTGCTATTCCGTAGAACGGATGTCTTTGCAGATGCCCTTTGCTCCTATAACCCCACTGGTTCCGTGTCCGATCAGGAGTGCGAGCCGTCAGCGCCCGCTGCTACAGCTGCGGTTGCGGAGGCATGCTTCCGTCTCTGACATGGGAGTTATTCCAAAACTTAAACGAGACAGGCCCCTGCGAGCCCAATCGACCTGCAATCAACAATTGATCTGTGGTCGAGACCGCGCAACCTTCAGACGGTCTCGATATTTTGAGCGTGTTTTGGCCAGGAGGGCGGGGAGATTGCTTCCATGGAGGCCAGCGCTCAACGGAGAGTGTTTCCTTGTGACCCAGACTCACCGCATGATTCGCAACCTAGGCCTAGGCATCACGTGTCCCGTGAATGCCATGTTTCTCGCAGCGGCAACTAACACACACTGCAGGAGTTGCTGGCACAGATCGACAACACCAACCTTGAGTCGGAGCAGCTTCGAGAACTCCCGTCCCCAGACGAGGCAACATGTGACATACCATCGCGACTGGGTTCGTAACTTCTACTTGTAGTATCTGTTTGTGCCGTTTCCAGAATTGCTCCTAGTGACTAAAGTGTTGCCGGAATTACCAGCAAAGCTTCTGCAAGCTTTCTCCGCCCATAATTTCGCGGTGCTGTCAGCCACAAATGATGCACGTTGATTTGGCAGTCGGGCATGCAGAGAGAGGTGGGTAGTTGTCAAAATTAGGGTCCCTTTTTGGGTACCCAAAATATAAGGTGCCGTACTATAATAAGGACCCAATTAGGGACCCTAATTTTGACAACCACCCAGGTGCTGAAAGATGTGGCATGCAGTATGCAAGAGGAGACATATTCAGCCTTCCGTTTTTTCGGTCGTCGTGATCAATCTGCGGTTTAGGGTTTAGGGTTTAGGCTTGGAGTTTAAGGTCTAGGGTTAAGGCTTTCATCGTCATCATCACCATCATCATAGTACACTCTTGATCAGTCTCAGTCTAGATCAGGCAGAGACGAGCACTCCGACCTGTAGAGGCATCGCATACATCCCAGAGCCAGCAGAAACAGAAGTGGTCGAGAAGGGGTTCTGCAAAAGTCACCTCTTCTAGGCGCGGCAGTCGTGATGATTCTGCCTCGTATGCAGCTTGTAAGTGCTTTACTCGTGCATGTGAATGTCGAGAAACGCGGGAAGCAAATCCAGCAATCATGTTCTCAAGCGCGGCCCCAATATAACCTTAATGTAGCTGTTTTAGGACCGTAAGATAGCTACGTATCATTACAGCCATTATGTAGCTGTTAGACCATGATGCCAGGAACACGGGCCCTGTCAACCAGCTGCAGTTGCTGAGGCAAGCTTCGTGAAGTGAGGGAGGGATTTTGCATGAGGCCTACTAAACTACCGAAGCCCTAGTGGTAGGGTTCTCTATATGAACCCTGCTTTTTTGGGGGTTATAGGCCCCGGGTTTCTTAAATCAGGTTCCGACATTAAACTACCGAAGCCGGCAGCCGGGTTTCGACTGGTTGGGACTAGGATTGAGCATGCTTGAAGCCTTCACCCTGATGTCGCAGGAGCAGTCCTCCCAATTGCCGTCACCGGAGAAGCTGGCTGAGGCCTAGTTGCCTGCATCCGCAGGTGCTTGCACTGGAAAAGAAGTTGTTTCCTCATTTTGAGTAGGCCGGCAAGGGAGCTTGTGGTACGACTGTGCATGAGATAAATCCTGCATTGCCCTAAGGACCCTAAACAATGGGAGTTATGGTATATTCCTTTTTATGGGTAATGCAGGATTTGTATCATCAACCGGAGTATTCTTGTGTTCAGGAGCAAGTCCTGCAGCTTCCAGCCGATCGTCCTGCACCTGCTGAGGCTCACACTCGGGTTCGTAGGCATTGACACTTGAAACATTGCCCTTCCCTATGGCTCCAGTTATAGTAGGTTACTGGTGTATATAACAGATGGTTAGTGACCTACTATTTCGGTAGCCGGAGATCTAGGGCTTGGTATCCCCTTCTTGCAAGCTCCTTCAGACACCGGAAGCCTCATCAATGTGCTTTCGCAGGGGCACAGCAGCACAACGTTCCAGGGGTTCGTCAGGGGAGCTTCGGGGATGCTGACACTAAGCCCCATCATACCCCCTAGTACTCACACCTGAACCCCCAAACCCTATAATTCCCCTACAACGTCCCCATGCCCTAAACCCATAAACCCTAACCCATAAACCCTAAACCCCTAAACCCTGAACCCATGAACCCTAAACCCATACCAAACTCATAAACCCTAAACCCATAAACCCTAAACCCATAAACCCTAAACCCATAAACCCTGAACCCATGAACCTACCGGCCGAACCTCCAAACCTTAGCCCGAAGGTCTCGGATGACGTGCTTTCTGACACCAGTCCTAGCGACCTGATTTTGCGGTCGGTGTTGAAGGAGGCCAGGCCCCTCGGATGGATCTATAGGTTAGAAGCTGCCCCCACCCTGTAATAGTGACAAAAGAAATAATAAAAGGGCCCTATTATATTCCTATTATACCACTATTACAGGGTGGGGGCAGCTTCTAATCTATAGGGTTTAGGGTTTAGGTTCTAGGGGTTAGGTTTTAGGGTCTACAGGGCTTAGGGTCTAGTGCTTAGGGGTTAGGGTTTATGGGTTAGGGTTTAGGGTTTAGGGGTTAGGGTTTAAGGGTTATGGGTTTAGGATTTAGGGTTTAGGGGTTAGGGTTTAGGGGTTTGGGTTTAGAGCCGCTATGTCATTTTGTTGCTCATGAAGCCACTTTCATAGTACGAGGCAAGCCGACAAATTGAGTAAGCTCTTCCTCCCCTCGGTTTTCTCTTGCATTAAGTATGTTTTTCATGCAGCGGTGCCCTGCTGCCCTATGTAGAACTAAGGGGCGTCTCCATAGGGTAGTTTCCGAACATCGGGGTTGCCCCATGTTGGGGTCCTTATAATAAGGACTCTGCTATTTAGGGTGTTAAATAGGGGGCCCCTATGTTCGGAAACTCGCATATGTAAAAAGTTGGATTAAGATCCAGGAACACAAGCATTCGAGCATGCAAGTATGCCTGCATCATCGTGAGCTGCGAGCTTTAGCTCAGGCTGCGTGGGCACATCGCAGATAAGATAAGTTACACTGCAGATGTAGCCATCTTGCAGCCATGATGTAGAAAGTAGCTTCGACTACATCTACATACAGGCCGAGACCCTGGAAAAGAGCCGGCCCCGAAACGAGGACGAAGAGGAGGTGCGCTGCTGTCCTGCATGACGTCCTACAGGGTACATGTTGGATACGGCCGGGTCTTAGTGTTTTGTTCAAGCCTGAAATGGTCAATGGTTCGACAAATGTAAAGTTGCTTGCTATCGAGTCTGCAACGAAAAAACGCAAAGCCCCAAGCGATCAAAAGTTGCCCTGCGTTCCCATAGGTGAGAAACTTCCTGCCCCAAGCAAGGAAGGTATTGCTATCGCAGCCTTCGGCACTTTCGAATTTTGCAACCACACTTTTTGCAGGTGTTAGTGAGTTACGAATGTTTACGTCCAATTTGATTGCAGACTTGTTTCTCAAAGAGGTTGTCCCGCATTTTGGAGGTACGGTGGTTTACCGTTTGTGGTCGCCCTTGTGATCTTGACGGTGTAAGTTTGAGGATATCGTGGATGAGTCGAGAGAAGTGATGAATTTAACGGGGCTCGGCAGCTTGTTTGCATTCGCCCTAGCATTCAGTGCTTCATAGCATGAAGCTTAACAGTATGATACAAGTGCAGAATGCAAAGCAGTACACAGGCGAAGTGACGGCATGCCACACCAGGTCGACAGCGACGGCGGTCATCCTCCACTATCACCCGTTTGGCCGCCCAGATTCGGCGAAATCTGTTTGCTGGGGTTTCGTACATAATTCGTAGTTTCAGGCACCATGTTTTGGTGATCATCCGGACAAGCTTTCAGAAGAAGTTGGGGACGCGCCCGAAGCCCCAAGGAGTTGTCTGCTTTTCGTGGTTGGATTCAGGGAGACCGGGAAACCGAAGTGTGACAGGGATCCCACTAAAAACAAAATACAACACAGATTTTCATGACAGCCCTGAAGCCCCCTGAACCCCAAAACCTGAAACTCCCTCAAAAAAGCAAAACGTAGTAGTATAGGAGCCTCAATAATTACCTATACTATTGTGGGGGTTCCTTATTATGATTATAAATATAGTAGAACTGCCACCCCAAATCCTATTCTAACTATTAAGGCACCTAAAGTATTAAATCCCTAAACCCTGAACCCTAAACCTCTAAACCCCTCAACCCTAAACCCTAAACCTCTAAACCCTAAACCCTTAAATCCTTAAACCTCTAAACCCCTAAACCCCTAAACCCTAAACCCCTAAACCCCTAAACCCCTAAACACCACCTTTAAACCCCTAAACCTTTAAACCCCTAAACCCCTAAACCCCTTTAAACCCTTAAACCCCTAAACCCTCTAAACCCCTAAACCCTAAACCCCAAAACCCCTAAACACCACCTAAACACCACCTAAACCCCTAAACCCTCTAAACCCCTAAACCCCTAAACCCTCTAAACCCCTAAACCCCTAAACCCCTAAACCCCTAAACCCCTAAACCCTCTAAACCCCTAAACCCTCTAAACCCCAAAACCCCTAAACACCACCTAAACCCCTAAACCCTCTAAACCCCTAAACCCCTAAACCCTCTAAACCCCTAAACCCCCTAAACCCCTAAACCCCTAAACCCTCTAAACCCCTTAAACCCCTAAACCTTTAAACCCCTAAACCCCTAAACCCCTTTAAACCCTTAAACCCCAAAACCCCTAAACCCCTAAACCCTAAACCCCTAAACCCCTAAACCCCTAAACCCACTAAACCCCTAAACCGCTAAACCCCTAAACCCCTAAACCCTCTAAACCCCTAAACCCCTAAACCCCTAAACCCCTAAACCCCCTAAACCCTCTAAACCCCTAAACCGCTAAACCCCTAAACCCCTAAACCCTTAAATGCAGGCCAGAAACCTCGGGATGGCCTTGGCAGCTGCCGTCGATGAGAGCCCTCGTTTGGAGGCATCGGCTTTTTTGGGGGTTTAGGGACTCTCTGGTTTACCTGCTTTTAGGGTTTAGGGTTTAGGGTTTAGGGTTTTGAGTTTAGGGTTTAGGGTTTAGAGTTTAGGGTTTAGAGTTTAGGGTTTAGGGTTTAGAGTTTAGGGTTTAGGGTTTAGAGTTTAGGGACTCTCTGGTTTACCTGCTTTTAGGGTTTAGGGTTTAGGGTTTTGAGTTTAGGGTTTAGGGTTTAGAGTGTGTCGACCAAACAGTTGCGGTAAAAAGAATGTAGGACGGACGTCAGAGTTTTTTTGCGTAAGAGAGTTCGTCACGTCCGTGGACCTCGATATAGATCCCACCACAACCCACCCGGAGCATTTGTCCTTAGCTTAAGTCCTTAAGCGTCCAACACGAAGGAAATACCCATGCAGCTACAGGGAGGCGGACAGTCTTTCCACCGTCACGGCGGCGATGACAACTCTAAGAGCAGCCACACGAAAAGAAAGGAGGAGACCTCGAGATTCGCACTTGCCCTGCATTAAGAGGCACATTTTATGACCAGAATTTGGTACACCAAAATCAGCACCAGTTTTCCAATCGCCGAAGGTCAAGGCAAAGTTTAAAGCAGCCACACGAAAAGAAAGGCCGTGTTTTGCTGCAGAATGTGGCTTCGGCCGCTTTGGGCACCCATAGGCACCGGATGGTTTAGAGCAGGCACACGAAAAGAACGGCCCTGTTTTGCTGCAGAATGTGGCCCCGACCTGCTTGGGCACACACGAGCACTCGAGGGTCCATTTTTTGATCCGAGCTCCGAGGGACGGAGTTTAGGGATGGGGAAGGCGGCTAAGAGCAGCCACACGAAAAGAATGGCCTGTTTTGCTGCAGAATGTGGCCCCGACCTGCTTGGGCACACACGAGCACTCGAGGGTCCATTTTTTGATCCGAGCTCCGAGGGACGGAGTTTAGGGATGGGGAAGGCTAAGAGCAGCCACACGAAAAGAACGGCCCTGTTTTGCTGCAGAATGTGGCCCCGACCTGCTTGGGCACACACGAGCACTCGAGGGTCCATTTTTTGATCCGAGCTCCGAGGGACGGAGTTTAGGGATGGGGAAGGCGGCTAAGAGCAGCCACACGAAAAGAACGGCCCTGTTTTGCTGCAGAATGTGGCCCCGACCTGCTTGGGCACACACGAGCACTCGAGGGTCCATTTTTTGATCCGAGCTCCGAGGGACGGAGTTTAGGGATTGGGAAGGCGGCTAAGAGCAGCCACACGAAAAGAACGGCCCTGTTTTGCTGCAGAATGTGGCCCCGACCTGCTTGGGCACACACGAGCACTCGAGGGTCCATTTTTTGATCCGAGCTCCGAGGGACGGAGTTTAGGGATGGGGAAGGCGGCTAAGAGCAGCCACACGAAAAGAAAGGGGGGCACCTCGAGATTCGCAGCCGGCGTAGTCTAAAAGGCACATTTTATGAACAGAATTTGTCACTTGAAAACCACCAGCAATTTTCCAGAATTCTGGAGGCAGAATGTGGAAAATCTAAAATTTAGAGCTGGTTGTCCTTTTCCGAAGAGGACAAGCGCGACTAAATGAAGAAAACCTTGATTTTAGAGCTGGTTGTCCTTTACCGAAAAGGACAAGCGCGACTTAAATTTAGAAAACCGGTTTAGGGATGAGGTAGGTGGCTAAGAGCGGCCGCATGAAAAGATGGTTTAGAGCAGGCGCACGAAAAGATCGGCCCTGTTTTGCTGCAGAATGTGGCCCCGACCTGCTTGGGCACACACGAGCACTCGAGGGATCCGATGGTTAGAAACACCGGTTTAGGGTTATATATACCTCTATATATCACGGAATACTTGCAATCAGTTATGAGCTTACTAGTAAATGGAAGTAATTATGTCTATAATTACCATTTACCTCGTATAGACTAGAATGTCTTTCGTTTCCTTCCCGAACAAGGTGTAGTACGCTCCTGTGCGTAATAAGGCTTAAGCTGAGCATTCAGGCTTAAGCTTTTGAGTTTAGGGTTTAGAGTTTAGGGTTTAGGGTTTAGAGTTTAGGGTTTAGGGTTTAGAGTTTAGGGTTTAGAGTTTAGAGTTTAGGGTTTAGGGTTTAGGGTTTAGGGTTTAGAGTTTAGGGTTTAGGGTTTAGAGTTTAGGGTTTAGGGTTTAGGGCCTGCTTAGAGAATTTATTCGGTGTGTTCGGGAGTTTTGGGAGAAGGTGGAGCAGGGATTTATTGGGTTTAGGCTTAGGGTGGTTTAGCGGTTTTGGGTTTGCACAGGGCTTAGCATGTTGGGTTTTGGGGGGTGCAGGGTTTCAATGCTTCGGGGGTTAGACTGAAAGCGTGCATTTTATAGCGCTCATGAGCGACGATTGTACATGCCACAGCCGCTGTGGCTTACAGGCGGGGCATGTGTGAAAACAGGTGTGAGGGCTGCCATTTGTGATTTCTGTTGCTGGCCGATTTCGCTGGCAGCGGAGCCGGTGACGATCCAGGGCAGCACCGCTGTGGGTGCTTTGTGGCGAGGCTGCTGGGGCGGCCTCTGGGCTGCTGGGGCGGCCTTTGCTTTGAGGACCTCTGGGGTGCGATCCTGGAGTTTGTGATTGCTTTTGGCGTTTTTGGGAACTGTTTTCGAGCGGCTTGTAGCCGGCCCTGCTGAAGTAAGCCACTGGGTGGAATGAGGTCCTACTACGAGACCTTCGACGCGTCGCTTGCGGACTCTCCGGGTGAGTCGGGCTATGCTGAGGAGGAGTGGGGAGCTGAGCCCCAAGAGACATGGAGGACCCCAAAAGGGGGCACCGGTGGCCTTTCGAGTGATTCCCGAGAATTGAATGAAGGAGATGATTCGGGCTGGTGGAGCTCGACGAAAGGCCGACGCGCTGCCTGGGATGGATGGAACGAAGATGGCTCCTGGGCAGGCTCCTCCCCGGACCGCTGGGAGAACCAGTCCACAGCAGACAAGGGAGGAGGAGACAGCTGGCGGTCGCGCTCTGACCGAAAGTGGCGCGAGGATTGGAATGAAAACTGGTCGTGGAAGACGCCTTCGGAGCGAGGCGACAACGATGGGCGCTGGGCGACTTTGGGCGCCAGCGCAGGGCGCCAGCTGTTCCCCGACGAGGGCCCGGACGACGGCATTGACAATCGCGAGCACGAGGGCAAGGAGGACCACAAGGGCAAGGTGAAGGTCGCTGGAGATGATGGCCGCCGGAAAGGCGGCAAGGTTAGCACCACGTACCCTCCGGTGTTCCGTGCCAAGCCTCAGGAGAGCTACCTGGAATGGAAAAGGAGCGTGGAGTTCTGGATTGGCGGCGAGGGAGACTCTTTACCGGAGGAGCTCATAGGGCCTCGCATGATGGTCCAGCTGAAGGACCGGGCAAGCCAATTGGTGAAACACTTGTCGAATGCTGATGTGAATGGCTGCGGCGGCAAGGAGGTGATTTTCAAGACGTTGGAGAAGACGCCGATCATCCGGCAACTGGACCGGCATCGTGTCGATGAGCACCGCCGCCGGCTGATGCAACTCAGCCGTGCCCCTGGTGAGTCGATGGAGTCGTATGTGACCAGGGCGGGCATCTACAGGAGCCACTTGATCGGTATGGACTCCTCGCTCGAGATGGGCGAGGCCTTCTACGTTGGGCATCTGCTCGACCACGCTCGCCTGACACGGCGTGACAAGGCCATGGTGAAGACGAAGGCGGGCGCTGACGGCGACGAGGAGAAGATCACCAATGCCTTGATTGACTTGGCGGCCGAGCTCGACGGTGAGAACGGTTTTCCGGTTGGTCCTCGGAACCCAATATTGCTCGCAATGGGGAGGCATGGCTGCTGCAGCGTGGAGACAGACGCCCCCCACGCGTGAGTGGTCAGCCCCGTGGGACTTTCGCGGCCGAGCACCCCGGTGATGGCGTGATCGTGGAGGACGAGGAGGACTCTGGAGCGGAGGGCGGGGAGACGATTGAGATCCCGCCCGAGCTGGCCTACATCGAGAACGAGGCGTTCGGGCTGCAGTACAAAGCGCGGCAGCGGATCGCTGAAGTGAAGAAGATGAGGCAGTTTTACCGCAAGCCGAGGGCAATGACAAGGACGAACGGAAGCGCCTCATTGCTGAGCAGATGAAAGTGAGGCCCTGCCACTCGTGCGGCCAGTTGGGCCATTGGTCGAGGGAGTGTCCAAATCCCTCCCAGAAGCCGGCCCAGGCGGTGCTTTCAGCTTGCTCTTCGAAGGCCGTTGCGGATGGAGGTGCCCCAGAACGCTCCGAAGGAAGCGAGTGGGATCTTCTTTTGTCGCTCTACCAAGGGGCCCCTGACCAGGACCGGTGCTCCGATGTGGCGGCATACACGAGTGAAGTGCACCGGGTCTTTGCAACGGTTGATCTGATACTAAATGAAGTGTTGTGGTCTCTTCAACAGCTAGCCTTCAAGATCATCCTGGATATCGGGTGTATGAGGTCGGTGGCAGGGGTCAAGTGGGCCAATCAAGTGCTTCAGCGATGGCGTGCGGAAGGGCGTTGGTACCAGGTTCAGAAGGAGTGTGAGGCTTTCAAGTTCGGGGACGGCCAAGTTCTACACAGCAAGTTTCGCATTTCACTCCTTGGAAGCTTTGCGGGCAAGCCAGTTGTCTACGGTTTCAGCATAGTAGAAGGACATTGCCCCCCGTTGTTCTCGAGGTCCGGGTGCACTCAAGCTGGGGTCGTGATTGACTGTGAGCATCATTCAGTGGCATCACGTAAGCTTGGTGTGCGCAATTACGGTGTGGGCAGGGAGAGTGGTCACTACACGTTGTCGATTGATGAGTGTGACACGGGCGAAGTGCAGTTACCTGCCGACTTTGTGATGCCGAGCACCATGGACATCATGCTATTGTCCGATGCAGTTTTGCCCGAGAAGCAGGTAGCAAGCCCTGACGGTGCGCAGCGTGCAGAGAATGGCCTTCTCGGCGCCTCCGGTGTGCAAACTATGCAACAGCCCCGACCACAAGACGAAGCACTGCCCCACGATCATCGAGGAGTCGGACGACGAGTTCAAGAAGGTGGATGTGACGATGATCGAGGACGACGGCGAGGAGCGGACCAGACGAGTGGCTGTCCCGAGGCCGGCGTCGACGGGGGTGATTCCGGTGAAGGGCCGTCGTGCAGGGGCCCAGGCTGCTTCCTCGTCGGTGAAGGCGGCGACTCTCGAGGAGAATGGCATCACGGCGGAGGAGGCAGAGCTCTTACGGAAAAGGAGGGAGCGCCAGGCGGCCACTCGTGCGAAGGTAGCTCAGAACAGGGCGCTCACGGGGGTCAACGCGGACTACCCGAGTCTGAGCAATGTCTGGAGTTACGAGCCCGCGCTCAACATGACAGCTTCCATGGCGAGCAGGATGAGAAGTAGTTAGATAATATGGTTGATTCATTCTGGTAACTTGAAATAGATAATCTTGTCTTCGCAGGTGCGAGACGATTCCGCTCCCGTGGCAGCTCATGGGATGTCGTCGATGGACTTCGCGATCGCGGACGATTCAGACGATGCACAGCTCCTCGCGGACAACGAGGAACCGGACTGGAGTGGGCGGTTCATTGTCATCTCGCATAACAAGACCCTAAGCCCTACAAGTCCAACTAAAATTGGTGTTCGTGCCCAGACAACTAGCGAGGATTTGGGTTCAGGGCTTATTGAAGGTGGGGAGGCTACGACCCTAAGGCCCTACATACTTGTACTAGGTAGGATACTGCCTTGTACGATTGCCTCGAGGGAGCCTTTGTGTTGAGAGGGCTGCAGGTGTTAGGATCCATCCTCTCGAGCCAAAAGCTCTGGCATTCAGTTCGCTTCAGGGCGTCGGGCTCTTTTCAGTGGCATGAGATGTGGTGATATTTTCAAGCAGCTCCAGCATGATGATGTTCGGCCCCAAATGCCAGACCATGGTTGCTAACACCTTGACTTGAAGGCTGAAGAAAGTTGCGATAAAAATTCCCAAGCCCGTAGGCTTCAAGTCTTGTGATTTGGGGTCGTCCCAAAGTCTCATCTTCTCCAAAAGTTTATAACCGGCACACTCATCGTGGGATTGTTGGTTTAGGCTTAAGATCTCCGGCAAGCCGCGACTGAAGACCCCAGACTACTACCGACTCTTTCAGTCCAACATGCCGAGTTCTCGAACTTGGAAAAACCCCGGCGCCTTTAAGCGCCCCGATGTTTAGAGTTCGTAGGGTTTGTCAAAGGCTTGGGCTTAGGCTTCAGGGACGAAGGAACTCCCATATTCGCCGATCTACCGTAAGCCTTAGACCTTCAGCCCCCTGTAAACCCTAAGCTTCAAACCCTAAAAAAACCTGCCAACACCGCTTCAATGACCCCCGACAAAGAGCCCAAGGTTTCAGCCAAACCACGCCTTTTTGGGGTTTAGGGTTTACGGTGCAGGGTCCAGGGTTTGCTGGGTTCACCCTGGACGTGCCCTAAACCCTTGCTGACCCCATAGAGCCCAAACCCCAAAGTTGGAGGAGCCCCATGTCTTAAGGAACCACCATTGGTAAGGTTTAGGATTTGAATCCAGGGCAATACGGGGAATCTCCGTATCATCCCGACCAGAAGTATACTACACCATACTCGAAAGCCTCTTCGAAAAGTTTCAGGGCCCGTATGTCAAACCCTTACCAAACCCTAGTAAGCCCCGTGGAATCCTCTTCTAGTTACTCAGGCCCCGGTATTTCCCTAAACTTCTAAACATCTAAACCCCAAACCCTTAGCCCACACCGCAAACCCTAAACCCCGAAACCTAAACCCAACACCCTAAAACCCTTGGCACAATTGGAGAGTTTTTTCCCCGTCCGCAGCGATGGAGACGGTTAAATAACCGGCATATCTTCTCCAGGAGAATCAGCGGATTATGGCTGATCGACGCGTGATGCAGCATACTGACTGCTGGAGAGAGAAGATGGGCAGATGTGCTCAACGCATGGACTTGCTGCTATATTGGAGCTGGGCCTCGAGCTAAACCCCAAACCCCTAAACCCTAAACCCTAAGCCCATTGCCATTTTCATTTTGTCCAGAAGGCCATCGCGGGCTCCTGTGCGATCACGTCGCTGACGGCACGCGCTTCAATGAATCCAGGGAGCCCAGTGCCCTTATAAAAGAAAATACTTGCATTGTATGGACTTTATGTAAATATTGTTATTTAGGGCATATCACTTGGTTAAGCGGCATTGGTTCCTCTGGGAATCCGCAGGTGCAAGACGACGTGCCGCCCGTCTCTGGCGCAGACGCAGTCGACAGCGAGCGTGCACGCAACCTCGAGGAGGTGGGACTGCGGGGGGGCAACCAGGCAGGCTAGCTTTAGGTGACATGGCTACTCCTGATGGTTTCGGGCTTGGGGCCTTCGTTTTCGAGATGTCGGACTTTGTGCGAAATGGCGGTTTGGGGATTCGAAAGACTCAAGCAGCGTCGTGCTTTTAGTATCAGGCTGGGCTTCCGACAGCTTACGGATTCAATGAGCATGTCCTAAGCAGCTCTCTAGTATACTAGGACCTAGAGTAGGCCCTTATTCCCTTTTTTAGGGTTCAGGTTCCCTTATAAACCCCTTTAAACCAAAAAGGGTATCCTTTTTATGCCTGGGTTACTCTTGGGTCTAGGTATAGGAGGCCTTAGAGGCGAGTCTGCTTCAGCTGGTAGGTGAAAATTGACCGTCAGTAGTCCAGAATCCAGAACCCCCTTTCGCAACGCCAGGATGCAGAGTCCGAACCACCAAACGCGTCCTTCCTGGAGCAGCAGCCTTCCGCCTCTGAGGCGAGCTCGTCTGCTATGTTTTTTGGATTTTGCTGTGTTCTTGTATGGTACTGGTTTTGGGTTACGGTGTCGTTATGCATAATTTTGGGACGATAAGTGTCGGAATCATTAGTAATCGGTAATAAGATACCCCTACAGTCCCCCCCAATTTTAGAGTTTTAGTAACAGATGCACCCAAAACCACTGAAACTCATCAAGGCCCCCTTTAGAAGTAGATCCACCGTATATCGTTTGTCGTTATCCATATTCCGATGCGGGTTTGTGCAGCTGACAACATGAATTCATTTAGGAAATGGTTTCCATCTCCGCCGACAGCATGTATTTGCAAGAGTTTTGGTCAAACAAAGAAGCCAGCAAACAAAGTGCAAGACAATTGCGCCACGATCAAGAAGCGATTGACATGTTTGAACAGGCACACGACTTCTGCGCTTGCAATGCATGAGTGCCTGAAGAAGCCGCAATCCAGAACGTGCGCAGGCGTTGACCACCGGAGTGAGCTCTCTGACGGGCTCCATCGAAGGCAAGTCTGGCGTCAGTGATTCGACTTCCACCTCAGCCACCGGCAAAGTGCCCCTAGTTCAAGCATGTGCGCGCAAAGTTTTGTAGCAGAATCGCAGTAATTACGTGCTCTGTAGGGTTTTCGGTGTATGCACACGCACAGACACATAGGCACACACACCTGCCTGCAGGCGCGGATGGCAGCAGGACGGCCGCGACCCTGGAGAACCTGGCAGTGCGAAGCTGTCGAAAGCAGCGACATGAGGATAGTGGCTGGTAAGGCTGGATGATTATGAAGACGGGTGGTTGGCAAGGATGCAGATGAGCATGATGCTGATGATGTCTCGGCTATGCCATGGTGACGAACGGTCATCGAGTGTGATGACAATGATAATGGGTAATTATGCTGCTGCTGATGATGATGATGATGATGGATGATTAGTGTGATGATGATGGTGATCATGGTTATAACGATGATGCTGATGAGCAAACATTCATTGTCTTGAAATACCAGGTTTGAAAAATTTCATCTAGCTTGAACACCAAACACTATGTAGTTGTGTTCTGGTGAACCAGCTTGCCGTTCGTGGCAGTATTAAATCGCACATTCGACACATCACTGCATCCACTGAAGCAGCTGCTCAGCTCAACTCTCGCAGCAATGCAATGATGTTTGTATGTCAACTATGTATGTGTTTGGCTTCTTTCCTGTTGTGAAAGAGTTCCAGTGACAACTTTACAGGACTTCCGAGAGCAAAAGGTGTCAAAAGACTGAAGGCAACATTGTCAGAATCGCCTCGCTGATTGGAAGACTAGTGTGTCAGAATGCCTGAGTCATCGTTCTCGCTATCGTTGTCATTGTTGACGTCGCTCATTGTGCCACCATTGGCGCTGAAGTCGTCGCCGTGTCGCTGATGTGCTGTCTTTTCTTGAACTGCCGTTGTTGTGCTGTTGGTGCTCAATTTGCTGCGTGTGCCTAACTGCATGAACCGCAGGTCCAGTAGGGGTCGCCACGCGCTTGTGTTGTACTAAAGCACCCGATGCCTAGCCCCGGAGCACTGTACAGGCAACAAAGGCCAGCTCACAATACCATACAGCTCGTGCGACAAACAGGAGGCTTCTGCAAGACATCCCAAGATGCAATTTCTTGAGTTGTTTGATGTCTCAGTCTTCGTGTTGCTGCCTCTTAGTTGGTTGTCTTACTCAGAGCAAGGTTCCTATAGTCTGCGAGTCTGGTGTCGGTTGGGGGACCAGCGGCAGAATCCAACGAGGTCCAACAAGCGGTGGTGGCTGCGATGTTCGAGGCTGGGATGAGGAGCAAGATGATTACTTCATAACATGTATATATATATATATATATACACATAATGTATAACATCAGAAACTCATACATACATACATACATACATACGTACATACATACATTCAGTGATGCACACATATGCATTTTTACATATACACATACATACATAATTACATAGTCACATACATACATACATACACCGTCCGCTTTGGATGCCTGGCGAGCTTTCTCGAATCTTCTCGAGGCCATCGACACCAACCACGACGGCATGCTGTCCAAAGAGGCTGCAGAGCGCTGTGTTGCTGGATCCTCACACAAGACGTGCGGTGGGCAATGTCGCATGCAATGTGCTTCCAGGAGTTCCAGAATTTCCTGACCAGACCGGCTGAGGCAGGTGCCGAACAAGTAATTAACCTGAGATGAAGCCAAGATATCAAATCGCAAGTGACAGCATTGAGTTGCTACAGTTGTGTACATTACGTAGTTCCCAGAGTTTAGCTTTCTTGTTTTTGTGTTCCGCCCGGCGTCTCGATGTATGGTACGCGTTCTTGCCCCTGCACTTGTACTGGCTCAGATGCAGCGACATTCGAATATGCTGCAAAAGGTTCCCGAAGTGTCCTTGACTCGTTGCAAGCTAAAGCCTCCTACCAAGCCAGAAGCCGCGATGCTTTTGTCTTCATTCTTTGTCAGAGCCGTCCGTCAGAGCCCTCCCCCCGTCACCCCAATTACGCATCTGTCTGTCGCCGCCCGCAAGATGTTAGGGTTTAGGGTTTAGGGTTTTAGGGTTTAGGGTTTAGGGTTCTTGCAAGCGCTCCGTCGTAGCAAGCTGAACCCTCCAGGAGCCACTCCACGCTGAGCCGGAGGTGAAGCAGGCAGCGGTTGCTTTGGGACAGTAGAGTACTCTTGTTCTATCGGTAGCGCTGTTTCTGCCCGTTAGGCTCCAGTGTGCACTTTGAGAAGGTGTAGGGTTTAAGGTTTAGGGTTTAGGGGTTTAGGGGTTTAGGGTTTAGGGCTTGCAGTCTCGTCCGGCCAGTTGATTGAGTGGTTTCAGGATGCACGTGATATTGGCTGCTTCGTGTCCGAAGCATAACATTGCAGCAAGACGAAGCGACAGCAATGCAGACCATTTTTCGCCCGTGCAGGCCACTCTCTCAACAGGAGGCGTGAATCAATGTGTGAGCACCACCTGACCCAGCAGAAGCTTGCTCACTTCGAGCGGCATGGGTCATGTGGGGGTTTCCGAAAATTAGGGGTACCTTATTTGGGGGTCCTTATAATAAGGATCCTGCTATTTAGGGTACTATATTAGGGTCCCCTATTTTCGGAAACTCCCATGTAACGGCCCATGATGAGATGGAAGGGTTTGCTTGCGTAGGTCAACAGCGACAAACTCGAGGCCAGGGACAGTCTGACGATCGTGTGGGACCTTGATGCCACTACTGGGTTGTCCTTTGGTATCTTTTTTGTATTTCCCGTACTACTGTGTAGAGAACCGTAATAGTAAGGGCTTAAAGGGACAACTCAGACTAGCCGGCTTCGGCATATTAGTAGGGATGTTGGACACTGCGAACCAAGCACTATAGATGTACAAAGTATGTGTGGAGCCTCTTGGCAGATTGTACAGATGCACGACAGACATGGATACCCAGTATGTTGAAGTAATACACTGTGAGATGAATAGTATGTGGACATCTGAAGCAAGTCTGATCAGAAACCAACTGCCGGAATCATGGCACCGTGCATGGCAGAGCATCATACTGTAGGGCTAACGGCTTCACCGGAACATGCTGCGGTTGCCAAGGCACACTCCATGCAGTCGTCACGTGATTCTGTAGTCACCAGCTTTTTCTTGAAACCAGGCGGCGGTAACCCAGACCCATTGCTAGTCTTTCGCTGTCACCAGGCGATGGTGAGCGAGACCCATTGCAAAGTCCCTATGAAACAGAGTAGCCTGGCATATAGTCCTATATGCCAGGAACGCCAGCCAGCAACAGTTCTCGAAACACCTGCAAATCGTATTCACGAGAACTGCAGCAATAATCAAGTGTGGCATCAAGAAATAATCGTGCAGACCGCACCAAGCTGACATTGAGGCCTTGAACACTTGCAGAGTGTGTTGAAGCAAATTTGTCGCGGTCAGGGTGAGAAGCACAACGAGGACGTTCCTTCCATGCAGGCCGCTTTTTCAAGATGGGGAGGGGAGTTCTCGACACAACCATGGTGTCAGCACTGGATCTGCCGCCCAGCATTGCGGCAGCGCCTAACTAGGTCACGGAACGTGCCTGATGTGATGGCAGGCTTTGCTTGCGCAGATCGACAATGATTACCTCGAGGCCACCAGCATTCTTTCGTCGGGTGCTATCCGTTCTCTCAGGCCTTACGAATCCCACAAGTATACCAGCTGCCACGGCGGCTGCTTTTGCTTGTACACATTTTTTTATGGCGTATTGATTTACTTGTCATTTCTATTTTCGTCATTGTTGTTAAGTCACGCATGTGTTTACACTGTATTCAGAGTTATACTTACTTACGTGTTGTTGATACCATTGTTCTTGGCTTGGTAGACGAGACAGCATTAGACAATCATGGATGCACTGGCAATGCACTGCGGAACAGCCGAAGGCAACCACGAAGGCTCGTAGTACACATAGTTCCTCCTTTCGTTTCTGGGCACCCAGTTCGTAGAAGCAGCACGCGAGTCACCAAGTTGACAGCCCGTACGTGAGCCTTGAGTCGCGGGAAGAGCTTCACCTCTAGCTGGAGAACAAGAGCAAAAGCATGCGGATCTCTGAGACGATTCGGAACAAGCAAGTCAGCCTCTCTGTAATCAGCGGGATTTCCCAATGAGGTTTAAGGGTTCAGGGTTTAGGGTTTAAGGGTTTAGGCTTAAGGGGTTTAGGGTTTTGGTCAGGAACACGAGCTCTCACTTTCACCTCAGCCAGCAGCAGCTGCCAAGGCACGCGTCCTGCCTGCACCTTCCCAGAGACTCCAAAGCCCCTTTATCAAGGAATATACCTCGTATAAACTATATTACTGTAGGGTTTAAGATATATTCCTAAACCCTAAACCATCAAATTACGTTAGGAACCCTTATGTGGTTTAAGGAGTATTGCTGAATGAGGGCGGGGGTGGGAGTCTCTGGGTCACCCACTGTACTTTAGCTGCCCCCCGCAAATGGCAGTATTCCAGACACGTCCCAAAGATCCTCACCGAACAGCCGAGCAGCCTGGGCTTCTATAGGGCCTAGAAGAAGTTCGCACTACTGTAACAGTATTTGGGGGCTCCGTATTATAATATGTATAGCTTAACATACACCAAAATCCTATTCTAATCCTTCAGGCCCCGACATCACACGTTAGGATCACGAGCCTGAGCCCTCCGAAAGGGCTTGGTTGATTACCAAGACTGTTTGTGGGGTTCCTGATTACATTTATAGTATAAGTGGCCCCAAAACCCTATTCTAATCATTGAGGCCCCTACATTACAGTTCTCGAGGCGTCTTCCTGCAACTGCATCGTTTTTCTGCTTATTGCCCGAGGCAAGTACCAGCATAGTACTCCTTATTATAGGACTTTGGGGCCTTTTGGGTACCAGAAAACATAAACAGCAATATTGCGTCTTGCGTAACTTACCGAGCTGAAGCTGCGGCCTTGAGCAGTTGCAGCGTATGTTGAAGCAAGCTTGCCACAGTCAGGATGACAAGGCCAACGAGGATGTTCCTTCCATGCAGGCAGCACTTTCAAGGGGGGCCTTCCCAATGTGACCATGCCGCCAGCAATGTGTCTTCATATGCTGTGTGCCGGCCGGCCTGGTTTTTCGCGGAATTCGTGCCAGTGACATGGCACGCTTTGCTCGCCCAGATCGACACTGACAACCTCGAGGCCACCAGCAATCTTTCGATCTCCTGACATCATGGTGGCGGTAGCCGGCGTCGGGACACTGGCACACGTGTGGGATTGCGAACCAGGCTCTTTCGAGCAAGACAGTTTTCGTAGATTCTCTCGGTGGGTGTTACAGATACACGAAGACTAGTCGACGCACTGCGACATCGAAGAAGCTTGTGCCATCTTGTTCCCATGTCATTGCATAAAGAAGTGGATTGTTACACCATTTTGACCAGCCGGATGTGATCCTCGAGGAGGGAGGAATAGCTTCATGCAACAGCTTGTGAGACGACAAATGTGTGCGCCCTGTACCCACTCCAGGCATGTCGTCAAAACGGAGTTGCTTTGGTGCCTCCAACTGCAGCAAATGATTATGCGTAAATAAGTCGCAAGGAGCATGACGACTGCAGGGAAGGGGGCCATCATGCCAAGCTCTTGCTTTACACTAGCAACAACCCTAAACCCTACGCCCTAAACCTTGCAACTAGTTGGAAATTGAGGCCAGCTCGGGGAGTGGTGACACACCTCGTGTTACCCACACCTACAGCCTGAGTGTCCCAGAGAATGGCACTACGCTTCGGCTCCAGATCAATGCAAGGATGGTGGAGCCCCCCGAAGATGTGACCACCGAAGCGGTGCCAAGCGCGGCGGGAGCTGAAGGGGATTGCAATGCAGAAGACACCCTGGGACGACCCAGTGGACTGCGGGACCTCTCTTTCCAACAGTACCAAGAGCTTTACTCCAAATGGAAGCATGGGGAGCTCAGTAGCGACCTTATCACGGAGCTCTACGGTGTGGAGGTGGCGGAACTGTTGGAAACCCACGAGCTGGTTGCTAGCGATGACCGTGACACTATGGAGGGCATTTGTCAGCAAGCACCAGTACCAGGGTGGAGGTGGAGTTCAGTGAGGCTACTACGGTGCCGTGGGTACACAGGGAGACGTGCCTTGACCTGGTCCATGAGGAAGAGGCCAGTCGCGAAGCTATGGAGGGTGACAAGGGTGAGCCGGAAACCGAACCGGAGAAGTGATGGGCCGCTACGGTGTTTACTACCAGTGTGAAGGGGGCTAAATAGTCAGGCAGTTGCACTCCTCAATGAGGATTCCGCCAACCTTAACTGCTAGGTGGAAAAGGTGCTCAAAAAAAAAACTTTGCAACTAGTATTCAGTAATTCTTCAGTAGACATATTTCGCCGAGACCCCAAGGTGACAGTAATCCAAACCTCTCTGACACGGAGCAGCCTGTGTGTGCCATATGGGTGGTTGTCAAAATCATGGTCGATTTTGGATCCTCAGTTTTGCACGGCACCTGCTATTTATGGTTCCCGAAAAGGGACCATAGTTTTGACAACTACTCATACCCCTAAACCTTAAACCCTTTTTCGATCGCACCTAATATGTAGGATTCCCAAACAGGGACCATGATTTTGACAACCATCCAATATGTCAGGAGCAGGAGATCGCGGCCGCAGCACAGCCAGCTACGGCTCTCGAGGCAGCTTTGGGAAGTCAGATATGCCAGACATTGGGTTGCATGTAAGCAAACCAAGAGGCCAGTGTAGCGCCGAGCACAAGCTTGCATAAATAACCGAATAGGGCTCTGGATTTGAGATCATGAGTTAGCAACTGCAGCGCGAGTTGAAGCAGATTCGCTGCAGCCAGGATGACAAGGAGGTTCCCCCCGTTCAGCCCTTGGTTTCAACACCGAGGGAGGCGGGGGCACCTGACCATGGCGCCACCACGGAGTCTGACCAATGAAAGCCATGAGCGGCATGGGTCACGGAACTAAATGGCATGAGATGAGATGCCAGACTCTGCGCATCTAGTTAGATCGACGGCTGGCACTCTGTAGCATGTGCTTCACAAGCCTGCAGAAGTCCAGCAGCAGCAGCAGCAGCAGCAAGTGTGCGAGCTGTTTCAATAGCCCACAGTCATCTGTAGCCACAAGCACATCGATTCGCTTGCGGTGGTGCGCCCAAGCCCTTTCAAGAGCAAGCCGCCATGTTTCGTGCCAGGAACAGGAGCCGAAGGTTTCAGCCGAGCCAGCTGCCGTTCAGGAGGCCTGGGTTGTTGTTCTTGGGGCCGTTGTTGAAGACTTCACGGTGAGACCACCAGTAGTATCACCAATCACTCACCGCCCGTAGCCCTGAACCCTACATGGCTCTGAGCCTGAAGCCCCACACCCTACTGTAAACCGCACAGCCCTCCAACCCTAAACTTTTGACCCTAAGCTCCAGATTCCAGAGCCGCGCATGCTCTTGGAACCAACGCTCTCTCACAACAGCCTGAAGAATTACTACAGTTTAACAAACTGGTCAGGAACCCGATACCAATATCTAAGGCCCCATATATTCAGTTTCCATAGAAGCGGAGTGAGTACACTTTACGCGTTTTGGGACACATGTGTAAATATATAATTATACATACTATCCCTGCATACAAAATATCCCCCATAGAACTGAAAGTTACACTTTTTGCGGTGTATGAAGCGAGCAACTATGTACGCCAAAGCGAGGCCGGAGTCGACGAAGGCAAGTCGACCGGCGCCGTGGAGCCGGAGGCCTTTCTTAGCTCTTGAAAAGGAGCTTAGGGTTGAGGAGTTTAGGGGTTTAGATTTAGGGTTCAGGATACAGAGTTTAGGGTGTAGGATTGAGGGGTTTAGGGTTTAGGACTTAGGGTTTAGGCTTCAGGATTCAGGGTAGCTCTTCACTTTGAGCTAGAGGGGACCTGACGATTCAATCAGGGTTCCTCTAAAAGGGCTGCTGTAAAAACGGATGCCGCTGTAAAAAACGGATTCCTTTCAATCAAGGGTTCGATACAGGCTGCTATTCTTGCTTTACGGGCGTAGTTTGGGGGCCTTAAACAGGAGATCTCGGCTTCATACCGTGTTTTTGTTCGGGGTTCTGCATGGGTACCCAGAGGCTCCATAGTAGTTCCTTTTTGGGATTACCTTATAGGATTCTATGTATGAACCCCAAAAAGGGACTACTTTGGAGCCTTAGGGTAGCTTCCAGGGCTTAGAGCTGGGGCCTCAACACTTGACATTGCTATCTATCCAGGTTCCATTGTTAGGTGGGTGTTTGTGGGTTTTAGTTCCTCTACGCGTTCCTCAAGGGTTGCCAGACAAGTTCCGGGAAGGGCTTCAGTGGGGGTTTAGGGCTCAGGGGGAAGATGGGAGATGGATGCTTTGTTCGAAAGCGCACTGTCCCTTTTTGGGGGTATCCGTGCATGAAGGATGCTACCCCCTGCTGGGTTGGGGTGTTCTATCCTACGGCCGCCCCCCTCATTTTCTGAGACTCCTAGGTCCCAGATGTGAGGCCATCAGAAGAAGTGCAAGTGTAGACATGAGCGAAGATTGTGAAGCTTTTGGCTCTTGCAAACGTGATGTTAAGGTGGTTCTCATAAAGGTTGCTATAGGGGGGTTCGGGCAGAGGATGGCGAGCTTGATTGAACTTCTGGGGCTTTAGTCCCTCGAAATTTATGGCACTGCGCTGGAGCTTTGGCTTAAAGCTTTAGTTTGAGATTGGAATGTCGCAGCATATCAGGGCTTGTATGCAGCCTTATATCCCTCCTGGAGTAGCCACATACTATAACAAACCCCTATTCGGAATAGACATGGAATATCACGGCCCTTTGTATGAGAGGCTGAGAGCTTGATGATTCAAAGTTGAGTGAGTGCTCTTGGCCTTACAAGAGTCTAGGGAGCCCCAACCCGAAGCCCTAAACCCAAACCCTACACGCCCGCAAGCCCCAAGACCCTAAACCCCACAAGCCCCAAAGCCTAAACCGTGGAGGATCGCGACTTCGACGCCGAATCCAGCACCAGAGCAAGTGACTCCGCGATGCTCGAGGCTAGAGCACTTCGGGATGAAAGTGAACGTAGACTCTTTAAGGGTTCTGTTTCTATAAGGGTTCTTTAATTGCTTCTTTTAGGGTATTTTAAATGCTTTTATAAGGGTTCAGGGTTTGGGACAGTGTCAGGCTCGCTGAATTTGTGCTCAGGGTGTTGTTTTTGTTGCCACGCTGGGGTCCATACATGCAAGTGTAGAGATGGTGTTTGAACATCAAGAAGTTTAGTAATAAGTAATAACACAGGTCCTTGGCGCTCCTTCTTGTAACTCCGTTACAATATACCTCCCCTATGTTATTCTAATCCTTGAGGCCCCCGTGTTAGGGTCCCCAAATTCGGGCTCGGGGTATGGTTCAGGGTTTGGTTGGAGCGCATCCCGAACTTGTGTTGGGGCAGACTCGATTCTTAAACGGGAGGTTCCGTGGCTTCCAGCTAGAAGACATTGACGAGTTTTTTTCCATAACATGCCAAAGTATCACAGGAATCGAAAGCCTAAACCAGAAACCCTAAAACCTAAACCTTAAATTGCGGAGTACCCCGCAATCGAACACGACAGCCAGGCCTTCCTGAATGCACCACCAGAAGAGCTGCATGGATGCTGGAGAGGCTGGCTGAGCTGTTGAGCTATGTTAGAGTCCTTACTAATTACCTCTACTATTTTCGCTTTTGATGAGCCAAGCAAGAACGAAGCCCTACTCGCAATTACTAGACAGTTGAAACCCGTGGTTTATGTTTCACCCTGGAGACTCTTCCGGCCGACTTTTCTTGATGGTTCTCCTGGCACAGTTTGGAACTTCAGGCTTCTAGCTGAAGGTTCCGCTGTGTGCAATTGTGCGTATTCCTTGCCGTGTAAATGCTGTCACTGCTACCAACAGTAAACTGACAGTAGCGATAGGGATCATAGTCATAGAAATGACAATACTAATAAAGATACTAAACCCAATACTAACAATATTTCGAGTGTACTACTACTGCTACTACTACTACTACTACTACTACGACTACGACTACGACTACGACTACCACTACGACTTCTACTACTACTACTACTACTACCACTACCACTACCACTACTACTACTACTACTACCACTACTACAACTACAACTACTACTACCACTACTACAACTACTACAACTACAACTACAACAACAACTACTACTACTACAACTACTACTACTACTACTACTACTACTACTGCTACTACTACTACTACTACTACTACTACTACTACTACTACTACTACTGCCAATGCTACTGTTTATGCAAAAGCTTATGGGAATGGGAATGACAATGCCAATGCCACGGCTAATGCTCATGCTAATGGAAATCCTTTTACGAACATATAATGATGACCAATATGAGTCGTTGTTATACTGCTAGGCCTACTGCTGCTGTTTGCCACTACGACGATGACTATAGATACTTGTGGTGATTCTTGCGGTAATGGTGGTGGCAGCGGTACTACCAGGAGCAGTAGTAGTAGCAGCGGCAGCGGCTGGAGGACAGTAGCAGTGGCAGTAGCTATACACTAGCATGGGCACTAGCACTAGCAGGTAGAGCAGAGCTAGTAGAGGTGACAGAGCAGCATGCATACATACTCCCACCCCGCAACCTTTCGAGAACGAGGATTCCTGCAGCTGAACCTTTTATGCAAGTGCGTGTATATATATATATACATACATACATACATACATACATACATACATACATGTGTATATATATATATACATATATATATACACACATGTATACATACATACATACATACATACATACATACATACATCTACATCTTAAACCACTGAATCCTCGACCTGGCACCTGTCGGCTCAAGGCGACAGCATCTCCCCTAGCAGCAGGCCTTTCTCCCAAGCGGTTTCGGTCTTGCTAACAAAGGGTGCGTTATTGAGGGGTCCATGCAAGAAGGATCCGATCACTGGTGGCTTTTTCAGGGGGTACGTTTTTTTTCGGGGGGGGGGGGGTGTTGGTTTCCAGTGGTTGAGGGGGCTTGGGGTTTTGCGGCCTTTTTGGGCTGCCAAAGCTTGCGAATGACGCCTGAAGAGCTTGCTGCGGGAACGATTGAGGTGTAATATAGAGGTCGGAATGATTAGTAGTATTATCCCCTTATAGTCCCCATATATACTATATTATAAATGCACCCCAAAGTCCTGGTTTAGTTCCTATACCAACACTAAAGCAGGGTTTTAAGGTTAGGGGTGTAGGTTAGAGGCTCCCTTGGAGATGTTGTCTCGGGATGTCGTGGCTTTGAATCGCCTTTTACCCAAACGCCAAAACCTTGAATACGAAAACCCTATAACGGTTTAAGGTGTAGTGCTTTAGGGTAAAAGCAAAAAAGCCTTGCAAAAACGCCTTGCAGCCGTAGAGCCGTATAGCCGCAAACCCAACGCAACCCCTCAGAACTCCGAAGCGGCCGGTTGCTTGCCAGGGCCCAGTCAGCAAGGCTTTGGCGGCAGATCCGGCGCGATGCCCAATAGTATGAGGATTTAGGGTTTAGGGTGGCGCAAGGGAATTTGTTATATTTTATAAGGGCTAAGACAAGGCCCCCCCACAGCCCTGCAGAGTTTACTGAACTGGCTTCTGTAAGGGGGGTTACTACAAGGTTTTGATGTTTCTCAGGTACGGGTTGGGCGGCTGGGTGCATTGACGATAGGTTTTGAGTTTCGGCTCTCGTGGAGTTCAGGAAGTCAGGAGAAGTAATATAGGGGTCTGAAAAATCAGATGGGGTTTCGGTGTATATTGCACTCTACTGGTGAAAAAACAAAATAATTTCTGCAATTTCTCAAGCCCCTGCAGTAGGTGGCGCCAGCCAGCCCGATGTCTTTCGTTTCCGTAAAGCAATACTCCCCCTAATTGCCAATACCATTTTCGGGGTTCCTAATTATCATTATGGTATAATATACACTGAAGCCCGAAACCCTATTCTACTAATTGCTCATCTTGATGTTTTCAGTGGTGAGCAGCCTTTCGTAGCCTTGGTCTGTAAACACCCGTTAAAACTATAAATGGGTGTCCCCTGTCTCTGCCCGAAGAGCCCGGTACGCAACGGCAAGCCTTCGTTTAGGAACCTCGTTACCGAGCACCCCGCTTCCTGATTTTTCTGGGTTTTTGCTGGGTTTCCTTCGAGTTTCATGCCGACGTTTAGGGGCTCATGAGTAGTTCTGTGTATCCTATCAGTCCATTGAACCCTCAATAAGCAACCAGACCTTTGATCTTCCAAAAGGCAGCGACACTCTGAAACTTGCCCAAACTCCGAAGGAGCGCTCAAACTCTCAACCCCGAACCAGCCTGCATACCGGACTCCAAAATCAGGGCGCAGCCGCTGCCACCGCGAGATCCGGAGGAGAACTATGAGATGTCCTCCCAGGCCTAGCTACTGACACAGGGGTCGCAATGCTTAGAACAGGGTTTCGGGGGAAGTTATAGTGTTTTACAGTACATAGTTATGATACGGAACCATACAGCCATAAGGAATAACCTTTGCAGTTATTCCGGCTTCTATATTGCACAGATGTGGGCTGCTTAACATATTGGGGACTGCCTCAAAGGGGTCCTTCAAACAATATCCAGAAATGCCTTTCCAGGTGTTGACAAGGGTCCCTCATTTTCTCGAGCTCAAAGAGCCTCAGCCTCTGGTAAACTCGCAGTGAGGCCTGCCGGTGCAAGGTGCTCCTGTTTAATATAGGGGCCTAAATAGTTTCCAATACTATTGTGGGGGGTTCCTTATCATGATCATAGTACAATCTATGCCCAAACCCGACTCTAATTACTAAAGCCTCCATATTAGCTTGTTCTCCTTCAATTAGTGGCCCGAGCCGGCTGTCGCTCAGGTGTTTGGTTTGGGGGCTGAAGGCTCCAATTCTGGTGCGTAGTGCGTTCTGCTTACATTGCCTTTAGACGTTGTTAGGAGATGTTAGGGTTCACTTGGAGGTTCATGGGTAGTTATAACTGGAATAAAAAGTGCGGGAACTATAAGTTATGATCATAACCCGCACTAGGGGATCTTATAGAACTCTACTTGCAACTACCTGCGAACCTCCAAGTGCTCCTTACGGAGATGCCTCTCCAGCATGCGCACTAGAACCGCCACGAGTCTGCGGGCTCACATCAAACTGACGGGGGCTGATATAGAACCCAAAGCCCCAAACCCTAAAGCGAAAAACATCAGTTGCGGGCAGATTTTTGCAAGCCCACGCCTGGTTGTTCGGAGGAGGAAGGTTAGGAGATGTCGCAACAGCGATTCTTGCTGTCACAGTATGGGGGGTTCTTGAAATAACTTATCTGGACGATTTAAGCGGTCCTTATAGTCAGGATCTTGCTGCCCAGTTTCCTTTTGAGGGGTTCCCTGCTTGCTGAAAGCCCCAGCTTCGAAGCAATAGCTTGTTGCGAGGGCGAATTCATGGACATGGAGGAGGACCTTCGCCGGGACATGACGTTGTACTTTATGATTTATGACTCATCTGTCTAGTGGCAGTTGCGCGGTCGCTCGTCGTTGTAGTAAACGGCCTTGGCATTTAACCGCGTGTGATCGTAGAAAACTGCCATCTGCTTGCAGTGGCCACACATGCCTGCAGTTCGAATTCTATATCTACCATCCCCATCTTCATGTAGGTACAAGGCGACATATGTATTCTCACCTGTTCGTATTATCCTACCTATCCACACACCGATACAGAACAAATCGAGATGGCTATGATTAATAGTACAGGCTCCTCCAATCCTTAAACTACCCTACCTACTTGTTTTGTAGCTTCGTATTATGAACCCTATAACTCTAAACCCTAAACCCTAATCCCTAAACCCTAATCTAGAACTTACTGGGAGGTTCGAGGATCGTCCCGTGCCTTTAACGGGATGAATAAGGGCTTTCTAAGGGATCTGCAGGGGTTTAGGGAACTTTAGGGCTGACCTCTAAATAGACCACCAGGACTTCTACAAGGCAGTCGTAGGAAGCCTCAAAAGGTGGTTTCGAGTCCAGGTAGGGTTCACAGTTTAGGATTTTGAAGATAATGATGATAACAGTTCATAATAGTAATATTTATAATCATAACAATAACAATAATATGAACAGTATTCCCAATAATACGAATGAGCATCAGGCCCCGACACTGGCCACAGGCTTCAGCCTGACCAGGAGCTGTTGCTTTACACCCCTGCAAGCACCGAACAGCCGTTTCCTAGTAGAATAGTCCTACGAGGCATCGGCTATAGTATGTAATATTCTAACGCATCTAAGCTAAGCTGTGCATCCCTCTCTGCCCTCTACCCCAAAAACTGCAATCCAAAGATTGCCTGAAGAGGAGGAAATGGAGCCACTAGCTATTGATAGGCACTCAACCCCGGAAGGATCCCCAAAAGCTGCATCCCTAAATCCTAAACCCTCAAACCCTAAAAGCTCTAAACCCCAAACCCTGAAATCCGAAAGATTTCCCCTAAACCCTAAAATCCGAAAGATTTCCCCTAAACCCTAAAATCCGAAAGACTTCTGGAAGAGGAGGAAAGGGAGCTTCACCTGGAGCACTTGCGAGCGGCGAAGCGCAGCCCCAGGCTGGGTGAGGTTCAGCATATCTGGAGCTTAGGGTTTAGGGTTTAGGGTGAAGAGTTTAGGGTTTAGGGTTTAGGGGCCTTAACTTAGATCCCCATTACCCAATACTTACGGGTATTTAGAAATAAATTTTAGTTTTTGGTTTTTATAATCTTTAAGAAACAGCTAAAATTGTAATTTTTTGCTAGGGTTCTAAGTACAGTATAGTTAATGTAGGTGCCTTAAGAATTAGAACAGGGTCTTGGGGGCTCCTTCTTAGAATTATAGTATAATACACCCCCAAACCCTATTTTTGCTATTAAGGCCCCCACATCGAGGTTTAGGGTTTCAGGTACTGTGCCGCGTTTGGGCTTAGGTTCGAAGATCCGAGCTTCTCAAACTCTGTGGTTCACGGCGTCGGGGTGCAGACATGCGAGGCGTCACGGGACGGACCCTGAAAAGGGGCGTTTTCACGACCCTAATCTAAGTAGCGTGTCCTCTTTCTCTGTGTATGCATACGCACATCTGATACGTACATCCATCAAAAGATATATCTACATAGCAGCTACGTAGCTAATTCAACATATACATGCATTCATACATGCACACGGACAGACATACAGACAGACAGGGACGAGCATACACGTAAACAGGTACATGTACGACTCCGTACAACTCAGATGCAATATGTGTGTATATATATATATATACACATATGGTGTGTGCAAACACTATATAAATATGCAGCAAACACATGGTTTCCGGGAGAAGACTGCATCTCTGCTGCGGTCTTTCGCCTACTAGAGCCAAGCTGCGGAGAGGTGGTGCGAGAACTACAAGGAGGTGGTGAGAAGCCAGGCAGATTGGAATCCCGACGATGTCTTCGGTGTCCGGGCCGCTTGGCTACGACAAGAAGGGCTGATGTTGGCCATGGCGATAGTGGTGGTAGACAAGGTGCCGGTGGTGACCTGGTGGTGGGTAGTTGTGGTGGTGGTGGTGACAATGATGTTCTCCATGATTGTGATGATGAGAAGCGCGAGGGAGATGGCCGTGATGTTGATTTTTTGATGGTAGCATGGTGACGATGACAATAAGGGAGCTTCACGAGACCGATGGTGGCGATGAGGATCAATACTTGTGTTGCCCGCTGAAAGCTAAGCTATGAAGTTCACCCTTGTTGTGGCTGCCTTGCTGCTCTTGCCGCTGCTAGTAGTGTGTTCCCAAGCAGTTCTCTGCTTCGCTGTGAGCTAATTGGTCAGAACCGTGTGTTCTGCGGAGGGTTCGAAGAGTTGTTCGTCATCTCTTCCTTCTGCTGTATCTTTCGATCGTACCGTCTGCAGAACGCCTGGTCAACTACGAATCCCATCCTTGTAGGAAATCGGATTTACAGGGCTGGACCTGAAGCGCTTTGTCCAAAACTTCGCCATGCATCTGCATCCTATAACAAACAGTCATCCGCACCCCAAAAGGGCGCCTCCTACGCCCTAAACTCCAAATCCCTGAACCTTGAACCCTGAGCCTGAAGTCACCCTTTGCTGCTTGCGCTTTGCTGGCAGGCACCTGAGGTCAACCTGGATCAGGCTGTGGCTTTGTGTAGCATTTAGGGTTTAGGGGAGGGTTTCGGCTGAGTCGTAGAATCCCATAGGGTATCGGGTTTTGGGTTCGCGGTAGTGTTTTGGGTTTGGGGTTTCGGGTATAGGGCTCGCGTAACCATTGTCATTATATCTTCGTTTAAGAGGAGCCTGTCGTAACAAAAGCTGTAACAAAAGGGAGTGAATAAGTAGCAGTAACGAAGTAGTAATTAATTGTAGTTACTCCCCGTCGTTACGAAGAGGAAACTTAGGATGCGCTGCTTAGGATCGTCCTCACCTAAACTCTAAACCTTCCAGCTCTACACCCTTAAAGAAGACCCTGGCAAAACCCCGAACAAGCCCTTCGCTACAGGGCATTCAAATGCTGTACACCCTTGATATAAACTCTGTAAAGTGAAGTAGGCACGAGCCTTCAAGCACCGTTCCTGCTCGGTGCTGACCGTACGTTAAGGCTTCTTTGTGGTCTTCGGTCGGGCTGAAAAGCCTTACAGGAAAGGCCATTAGGCTGCTAATGTGCGAGAGTAGTGGCAGGGGAAGGCGACGTGATGATCGAAGTTTTGGTTGTGGTTGTTGCTGTTACTGCCTGTTCACTACTAGCACTTCAATACCTATGACGATTTCCTATGTTAGTAACAGCAGGAAGCAGGACGTTGACCTGGCCAGCCGTGCCAGCATTCAGCAACATATGCATCCACAGCGACATTGGGAGAGGATGGCGAGCACTGCATATAGTACGAACCACAGCAATCACGTTACTGTGGGATTGATGATGGTGGAGTTGACGATGATGATGTATGAGACAAGGGCCGCAACAACGGCGTTGATGGAGATGAGCGTATGCCTGATGCAGTTGATGCGAATGACAAGAGACGGTCGATCTTCATTGGCGATGGAGATGATGAACATGAAGAAGATGATCACTTTGAGCACGACGGGATATGAGCAGTTTCATCCATGCGAGTGCAAGTTTGTAGTTAATTCCTCAACAGCTTCGTTTGCCAGGAGATGAGATAATATGCTATGATCGAGGATGCGAGCGTGGAAGCACGCTTGCGACATGTAGAGAAAAAGCTTGGAGTTCAATCATGCTTCACAGGAACTGCATGTTGGCATGCCAACATTATGCAACAGTCAACACAGATGATCAGGATTGTGGCCATGATGATAGCGACGACGATTGCGAAAAAAGATACACCAGGAGCATCGCAAAACGCAATCTTACTCATATTCGATGACCGAAGTAGATGCCACATTCAACCCCAAGCCCTCAACCCTTAAACCCTAAACCCCTAAACTTATAAAGCCTAAATTCACTGTTGGGTTCAGGACTGAATTGGTATTCTTGGCCGGTCTTCATGTCATCGGTCTGACTTGGGATTGCGAAATGTGGTGTTCTTTGTGTTTCTTTCGTGTGTTTATGGAAGTAAATGTGGTAAATGGGGTTCCGGGAATATGTTGTTTTTTTTGTTTTGGTGGTGCTGCTTCTTTAGCACGCACGCAGCCCTCAAGTAGCTCGGTCCCGAGAATCTTCAAACTGACTGTGTGCAGATCTTGCCGGATAAGCTGTACCTCGCGCAGAAGCTGCACCGCTCGTACAAGAAGCGAAGGGGGATCGAGCCTAAGTTCCTGGAAATGTGGCATTTCTCGGGTGCATTGCTTGTGTTGAGTGTTGAGAATTCCTCCCGTGCACCTTGCATATAAATCTTGACACAACACCCTCTTCAGCCCCCGTGTTGTGGTTGTAGGAGCATGCATGTCAACGATGCCGAAGTCACTCGAGTTGTGTAAGCTGTATTGTTCGAAGTGCTTGCCACGTGAACGTGACATGATTGCATGATCGAAAGGTCAGCGCTGTTGTTGGGTTCGATGTTTCTCAGCAAGCTCGAAAACGGAAACGAATAGTTCTGCTGGCATACATGTATAGCTGCAGCATCCGTAATGGGATAGCAACAACCAAAGCGATGCAAGAGCAAAAGCACTAGCACTTGTACAACTAGTACTACGTAGTTATGTCGGACAAACCAGTAACAGTTAAGCTGAGTCAAAACAACAGCCGTTTTCCTCGACTACCTGGTGCTGCTACTGCTACTGCTACTACTGTTACTTCTAAATAGCCGGGTTTTACTCTAGGTAATCGGACGACAGGCCAACAAGGAATGAGACAGCCCAAGAGGGAAATGACTCGCATGGGCTTAAACCTCAGTACGAGTTCAGGATATGAACGTAAGTCTCTAGTATCAATAAACTCCAAGCATTACCAGAAGGCAAACATGTACCAGTAGTACGAAATCAAGCAGTCATGCAATGTGTGCAACGTGCATAATGTGCGCAATCTATGTCAAGATGTATGCATGCATGTAACATACTCTGCACCTAACTGTTTATACATGCATACATGCTTGTGCATGTTTACAGACATATATATATATATATATATATATATGTGTGTGTGTGTACGTATACATACATACATGCATACATTTAGACAGATGGATTCAGATAGGTTTCCAAGGTGTTTAAAAGACAGACCTTGACGTGAGGTCTTCCGGAAAATGGGAAAAGGATCGCTGCAAGGAGGACGATGTAACCCAATACCGCAGCAAGATGGGTCACAGCAAGGCAGGGTTGCGGAAATTAGTCGAGGAATAGGGTTTAGGGGTTTAGGGCTTAGGGGTTAGGGTTTAGAGTTTAGGGTTTCAGAAATTGGTCGAGGCTGTCGAGAGCTACAGAGAACCAGCAAGGAGGACTGAGAGTACTAGGATACTAGGAGCGTGGTTACTAGAGTCTCCTTTCGGCACAGCTTTTCTTCTCCACGTAGCCTGCATGCTGCGTCGACGTAACAACAGTGTTTCAATACAACTGGCCTCTGTTGCTTCTGTCGTCGAAGCCCGCCGTGAGCCACAACCGCTAAACCCTGAAACCCGAAACTGGCCCTAAACCCTAATACACCAAGACCCTAATACCCTGAATATCGTGCGACCTTCATACCCTCGCCTCACATGCAAAGCCCTCAAACTCCTAGCGCCCCCTCAACAGCACAAAGTCCTTTGCAACATGTAAGATGTGGATACTGTTTATCTTTTTGGTTTGGGTTTAATGCTTACCGTTTAGACGCCATACCACAAAGCAGGTAACTGGTTTCTTTCCTTCCTGGGGAAATACAGGCATGGCTGCTCGATGTAGAGGCGCTCTCCGCTGCAGCCCGTGCCCGTCAGGAAGGCCTCGAACCCTCAACAACAAAAGTTCTGCTTGAGGGTTTGGAGCTTAGGTTCTCGGTATTGGGGTTCAGGGTTAAATTCTGGATATTTTGAGAACTTGTAATGTGCCGTTGCGGTTGAAGAGGTGTGGTAGTTCTGTCTACTTGGGTAGCAGTAGTAGTGCTGTTCCGAATCCTAGACCCTAATGTTGCAGAAAGTGGTCAGGTGCCATGTTCCCAGAGAGCGGCTCCTCGAACGAATACCTGGCGGCAGGAGAGGGATCTGTGGCATGGTTAGGGTTTAGGGTTTAGGGTTTAGGTGTTTACGAATGGTTACCATTTTGATTCCGTAGGGTTCCTCTTTATATAGTAGGTTAATGTTCGCCGAAGCCCCTTTTTCATCTATTGAAGCGCTTGTGTTTGGGAAGTTTTGCAATTTGTTTCTACGATGATCCTGCTTCTTGCAAGTGCAGGGCCAGTTGCTGAAGGCAGTGATCTTGAACTTTCAGTCCTCGGCATGGAGTGCTATAGAGGCCTCAATTATTCCCTAAACCATTTTTTTTTGGGGGGGGGTTGGTCCTTTGTTATAACAATACAGTATACTACACCCCCGAGCTCTATTCCCTTTATTACAATTATAGTATTATGTACCCCAACGCCCTATTCTGATTATTAAGGCCCCTATATTACAAGCGACCTCGCAGGCGGTATGCAAGACAACGTCGTGCACCACGAGCCAGAGTCAGGTGACGAGGAACCTGAAGGCAAGGTTTTGGGTTTTGGGGCTTGGGTTTCGGGGTTTCGGTTTAGGGTTTTGGTTTTTGGGTTTAGGGGTTGGGGTTTGGGGGTTTTGGGTATAGGGGTTTTGGGTCTTCTCGACGAGGTTATCTGGGACAGTTGTTACTGCAGTACTCTGATCGTACTTCTACTCTGTACCATAGCTCGTACGTATGTACCATGTGGTTAAGACTAAAAAATAAGTTAATATCACATAGGATGTTGTGGAATATGAGATTTTACGATCAAGATGAAATGGGTAAGAAATAGACATAATGTGCATGTATGCATGTATGTATGCATATTTGTGTGTGATTGGCAGCGATCTGGCAGGCGCAGAACTGGAGCCAGAGAGTGGCTCCTGGAGCGAACAGAGGGCTATACCGGAAGGTGGCGTTCCTGGGATGGAGTGAACTTCACTTCACTTCACTTCACTGCGGATCGGTCCAAGGTCCGGAGCAAACTAAGGACATGCAAGCCCAAAAGTGGGAACCGCTATGGAACCACACAGGCAAACTCGGAGGCAAACTAGCAAAAGAGCACAGGGGCGAGAGGCGCCTCAGGCGCGACCCAGCGACTCTGTGCTGAAAATGAAGGAGGCTCGCAGAGGACGGACGAAAGGGGAATGGCCCACAGGCGAGGGAGAGCAAAGGGCCAGAAGGTCCGGCCACCACGAGGGTGGACAGTCGGGGTGCTGTGCAGCAAAGATCACTCCGAAGGGAAGATGCGCAGAGCGAAAGAGCGCGCGGGGCAGCAGCCTCCGAAGGAACGAGAGCCCTGCCGAGCTCGGCACACCCCAAAGCCAAAGAGCGCCACCAGCACAAACCCGGGCGCATACCTGACGAAGGGTAACTGTGGCGGCCAACAAGCACTGTAAGGCAGCCGGAGGCTCCTTGGACGCGGCAGCAGGATCAGACACACTGCTGCGAAGGACACGGAAAGCGGACGTGGCAGCGGCGTCCCAGGGATGGAACAAATCGGTAGCATGCCAACATTTCCAGTAGCGGTGCCACGCAAGAGGAAGCTGCCAAATGACAGGAGCGAGACTCCATGCAGACCATAACGGAGAGGGTAGATGCCATGCCTCAGCTGGCTCAGAGTAGTCAAAAATGCACCGCCACTGACGCACTGGTGCCTCAACCGCATTAGATACGCTGGGTGCGCCCTCGACAGATCCAGTGCAGTGGGCAAAAGCAGCAGCGGGGGCAACGGGCTCTGCGGCACCAACATCTGGGAGGAAAGGCCTCGGGTGCGGGTCAGCCGGAACCGCAACAACATTGCGTGCAGCCCCATCGGTCACCTGCGGGGCCGGCCAGTCGAAAGGGGCAAGCGCGCCCGTGGCTGCGAAGAGCTCTTGAGCAAGCTCTCCCTCGGTGCAAGGGCGCCCTGCCTCAGAAGCAGCGCGCTGGGCAGGCGTAGCGTTAAGAGGACCTGGGAGCCTCGCTGCCGGGACGCCACGATGAGTCCTAGGCCCGCCCCGTCGAGACCCGGTACCATATTCATAAACCTCACCGACAGTGACCCTAAGCCCGTGGACACATCCCGGCGTGGTCCGGAGATGGTATTTGAGCCGATCCGATGAGTGCATCTCTGTATGACACCAAAGACAGGCGGTACCATGAGTGTACCGCGTCAGCCAGTTGACAACAGAGTGCTTGCGGTGGACATGTGCCGCAAGAGCGTGGGCGCTAGGTAATACCGCGTTGCAAATGGCGCAGGGATGTGGGGTTGCGCAACTGAGGACCCGTTTAGTCCTGGGTCCGGACAGCGCCTGCCACAGGTCCCAGAAAGCCCACTGGAGAGTGCCCCATTTGCTGAGAAACCGGCAGGCCTTCAGCATCCCTCGATGGTTGGCACGCACGAAGGCCAAGGCCGAAGGGACATGTTGGCGCTGGGCGCCCGCAACGCCTCGGGCAACTGATTTGCAGGCATCTGCGAGCAAAGCACACCAGGGGACAGCACGATTCCATGCCGCGTCGAAGAGATCCCACACCTCGGCAGGTGCCCGGCCAACGAGCTGGACGACCAGGCGAGTGCGAGCAACGACAACAGCATGCTCAGGGGCCGTCAGTCCAAGAAGGCATAGAAGCACGGACCGGTGCAGGCGGTGGCCGAAGCGCCATGATCCACACACTACCCGGGCAATCCGCTCGAACAGGCCGTGCAAAGGCGCGGCCCGTTCGGACACCGCAACTGAGGTAGCAAGTGTTGCGTACGCAGCGGGCAGGATCCTGCCAGCGACCCACGCTTGCCGAAGTGCCCAAGGTAGCGCATCGCTGCTAATCAAGTTGCGACCGTGAGCCCACGCAGTGCGTCCTCGCTGAGCACAAAGCTCAGAATCTCTACGGCCATTATCCTTGGGATGCTGGACAACCCCAAGATACCTATATTCAGGTGTCAGTCGCAACTCTGCACCATTAGGGAGGGTTAGCGGACGGGGTGACCCAAGCATTTCACCGCGTACGGCCTTGGCCTCATTGCCCCTGATGTCAAGGAGAGCCTCGGTTTTCCCTTCCCCAAGGTTAACGGAAAAATGCAGAGCATGCAAGGTGTCTATGACAATTTCCGCAACCCGTGGAAAAAGCTGTTGCAGTTCGCGAGGACTAGCATAATCCGTAATGACCGCGAGGTCGTCAGCCCACCCTATCTGAAGCGGGGTGGGGGGGAAACCGGAGGCGAAACAAGCAGCCTGGCAAGTTAGACCTTCCTTAGCACACACAGCTTCAATGTGGCGCAGCGCAATGGCGAAGAGGGAGCCAAAGAGGATATCAGCTAGTCCGTCGCCAGGTCGTGAGCCCCGAGTGGCAAGAAACAGACGTTCGGACCCTACCAAGTGCCAGTGAGCACAAGCGACGCAGTCCTTGAGGAGCGCAATTTCTTCCTCCGGGACACCGAGAAGCTGAAGGGCGCCCGCCCGTGCCAATTGGTCGACGAGAGCGCTCAAGTGATATAGCCGCTGTTCGCTGGGCCCCAGAGACAAAGCGCCGCCATCAAAGATGAGGTCCCTGCTCGCCTCATAATAGGCGGCCTTGATATCTACAAAGAGAACAGCAACACTCCGCTGTGCCTCGACACAAAGTGACCACGCGCAACGGAATGCAGTAACCGCAAAGTGGACAGGCATGCCTGGGCGACCTCCGAGTTGGAGACCTTGGTAACGGCGTAGAATCGAGTGCCCGATACCTTTCCTGAGGTATCCATGGTACACCTTGGCCATGCCATTCAGCAGTGCGATAGACCTGTAGTTTTGTGGAAGGGCAGCTGGGCCCTTCTTATACAGGGCGCATATGAGAGCAAGCTTGAACTGGGGCGGCTCGCGGCCCGTCAGCGCGATGCCAGTGCAGACACGCCAGAACCAAAGGCCCGCAGAAACGGGAAAGTGTTTCCAGAGCTCGTTAAGCACAAGGTCGGGCCCAGGAGCCTTCCCGGCCTGCTGCCTACGACAAGCAGCCTCCATCTGGAGGAGAGTCGGTACCGCCTGTGGACAGGGTACCGTGGGAGAGTGTGCCCAGGACCGCTGGGCAGCGCGAATTTGCTCGTGCGTAACAGCGCGCCCCCCTTCCTGGGCTCTGAATTGTTCTTCGAGTTCTTGCTCGATATTGTAGCCGCCCGCTGCGTGGACGGCTCTCCGCTCAGCAGCACGACGCGAGGCCCATCGCAGCTTGGAGATGGACTCAAGAGCTCGTCCTTCCTGATGCCAGAGCTCAACTGCGGAGGCCGTGAGATGGATGAAATGTTGCACTTTGTCCTTTTTTGCAGAATTGTGTGCAATGCGACTGAGGCGGAATTCCTGTGATAACATCGCAGCCTCCAGCAGACGCTGTTGATGCCAGCGGAGGTGGGGTAGGCGGTCTCCATAACAGCGCTGCCGCCACCCACCGAAGCAGAGCGAAAGGAGCAGCGCGCGACCGTTTTGCTTGACTAAGCGGCACTGGGCCCGCCAGTCCCGGAGCCGACCTAGGAGCTGCAAAGTCTTGGCCTGGATGTACGGCTGCTTGGGTACCAGAGGAGAGCGCGAGGGCAAGGCCTGCCTCCAGACTGAGTAAACATCCAGCAGCTGCTGGACCTGTGCAGGGCAGCCAACAGGCGTTTGACGCTGGATGCGGGACCAGATGTCGCTGCCAGCCCCACACACCTCGGCCGGAAGACACTTCCTCTGCCGAGGGCGGGGCACCGCCGGGGCAGTCGCCCTAAGGATCGTATGTGCCCAAAGGGCAACGTGATCTTGCTGCACATTTACGATGTCAAAAGCTAGAGCTTGGCTAGACCTCTCCACCTCCCAGGGACCAGCTTGGAAGAGAAGGTGGTCTAGCCGTTTCCTCCGGCCACTAGTGTGCTGCCAGCTCCAACCTTCTCCAACTTGGGTGTCACTGAAGGTGGAAGGGGCGAAAAGGCCGAACCGCAGACACAATTCGAGGAGATATTCATCGTTACGAGAAGGCTCGTGCTGGGATATCAAGGTGCCGATCAGCACTCCCTCATCGTCGGCAGAACAGACTGGGCGTGGCTTGAAGGACGGTCGCTAGGAGGTCCCAAAAGGCACTTGCTTCAGCATCGGGTCTGTCAGAATGTGGGGCGTGCGCAGAGCAGATAGTGACCGGAAACTGCTCAGAAACGCAAGTGATTACAAGGAGACGTGGGCAACTATGCAAGATGCGCCAGTCACCCAACTGCAACGGTGGCGAGACGATGCCCGGTTTAACCCAAATTTCGCAGCCATACTGACCTTTCCAGGCTCCGGAACGCCATGTGAGCCAACCACCAACCGCCCACCGGCCTGCCTTACTCCGGGCTTCCTGCAAGCAGAGGATATTGATGCCAAGCTGGCAGGCCTGGCTCATCAGGAACTGACGCCGAGCAGCATGTCCCGAGGGGTTGAACAGATTAGAAGGAGCATCTTTGATGGATTGAATATTTGCGGTCGTAATGCAGAGCGGCACCGGTGCGGGGGTATCGGCGTTGCTCAGAGGAGCAGTGTCAACAGAGG